TTTTAATTAATAATAAAGAAATAGATCTGACACTTACTTAAACGAATAGAATAGAGTATTCCTCATCTACACAGTACAACCCACACGCGAGCGATCTAAAGTTTAGATCGCTCGCGTGTGTGTTTTAGATTCTAAACCGACATCTGCACCGGAACCATGGATAAGGACACGATGGCGTCATCAGTTATGTAGGGTCAAGGTATGGGTCAAGGTCAAGGGTTAGGGTCTGATGTTATTTTTTTTTTATTAATTTTAAATTTTGCGGTTAGGGTTTAGGGTTTAAATTAGGGTTTAGGGTTAGGGTTTAGAGTTTAGAGTTTAGGGTACAGAGGCGTAGCTAGGGGAGGGCGGGGAGGGCGGCCGCCCCGGGCGCCGACCCTAGGGGGGCGCCAAAAGGGGTAGAAAATAATTTTAAAACCTCATTTTAAGCTGCAGTTTTGTATATTGTACTGAATAGATCATTTTTTTATTCATTTTTTCATAACACTTTGGTCAACCTAACTGATAGTTGTATCTTCCACACAGAAAAAAATCAGATCGTGAATCATTTGAGTCGGGTGAGTGTCTTGACCTCCGCGGAAACCCTGAGACTGAATTACCGAACCTCTCGGGTTCGATGGAACCCACTGTTCTAAACTCTTTTGATTTTCTTCTGTTAATTCGTTTCGGCTTCATAAGGAACATAGGCGTAATCAACACTTCGTCAACTCACTTGATTTTTATGAAGATCGTACCCTAATAATCCACCCTCCCCCTTCTCTATTTCAAACGATTACCTTCAGAACTTATTTTGTCTTTTTATCTTCCTCTTTCCCCGTGATGTTATTTTTTGTTGTCTCATATTGTGTCCTAACCACCATCTTTTCATTCTCCACTGTCTTTAACCTAGCTCGGAGCCATACAGTAAAAGATAAATCATATTTAGCTATAGATCCTGATTGAATTTTTTTGACAATGCATTTGAATTCCACATCGACTTAGAATGTTAATACGCATTTTATCGCTGCTGATTCTAATCAGAACGTCATGGGCGTCAGCTATTATCATTAAACCAGTTATTACAGCTTCTTCAACAAGTACAATTAGTTCTGAATTTGTTGTTTACTGTGTGCGAGAAGGCAGCGCACATCTGATAAATCCAAGACTTCGAGCTGTTGTGTCCGTTGGATTCCAGTTTGTTTCCACTAGCTTGTTTCATTATATAATCAAACAGTCAACGAAATACCCATATCGTATTCCAATGTGAACAATAATTTGCTATTGTATGTCAATTGTATAGCCTTTATCTAACAAATTAATAATTCAAGTGTGTACTATATCATAACAGAAACTGTTCCAAAAGATAAAACAAAAAAAGACTGTCCTAAACGAATTAGCACCTGCAACAATTTTTTTTCTTCTGACAATACTAATCGTCATTTTTTAAAGGATAATGCATCTTAAGGAAAATTAAATTGGCGTTGAGTAAAGTTTTTGGGAACGACAATCATACAGCGTAATTATTAATTTTTTCCGGACTGTCGCATACACACACACATACACACACACATATATATATATATATATATATATATATATATATATATATATATATATATATATATATATATATATATATATATATATATATATATATATATATATATATATATATATATATATATATATATATATATATATTGGGGGGGGGGGGGCGCCAAACTAAAACTTCGCCCCGGGCGCCGGGAAGGGTCGCTACGCCTCTGTTAGGGTAAACACCTGTAAAACCTAAGCAAAAATAAAACTGAAAAGTTAAAAATAAAAAAAATAAAAAAAACCCTTAAAAACCTAAAAAACCTAAAAAACCTAAAAAACCTAAAAAAAACCTTAAAAAATCTAAAAAAAAAAAACCAAAAAAAAAATAAACACCTAAAAATCTAAAAGCTAAAAACCTATTTAAAAAAAAAATTAAAAAAAAAACTAAAAAAATTAAAAACTTAAAAAAACCTTAAAAAAAATTAAAAACCTCAATAAACTTAAAGCCTAAAAAAGCTAAAAATAACTATAAACCTAAAAACCTGTTAGGTTTTTTAAGGTTTTTTTTAGGTTTCTAAGTTTAAAAACGTGGAGAAATGGAAAATCAAAAGATGGAAAATAAAAAGAGGGAAAATAAAAAAATATAATTGTCCTAACCCTAATCCTAACCCTTAATTAAAAAAAAAATATAATAATGGAAAACAAAATAAGAGGAAATAAAAATAATGCAAAAAATAGAATATGAAAAATGGAAAATGAAAAATTAAAATAAATTAAAAAATAAATAAAAGGAAAATAAAAAAAAACTAAAATAAAAAAAAAAAGGAAAAAATGATTATGTAAAATCAGAGGCGTAGCGACCCTTCCCGGCGCCCGGGGACAAACTTTTCGATTTGCACCCCCCCTCGAGATTTTGATTTGCAACCCCCCCCCCCCCCCCCTCGAGATTTTGATTTGCACCCCCCCTCAAACTTTCAATTTGCACCCCCTCAACCTTTCAATTTATTTTTCCAACCCATTTTGGCGCCCCCTAAGCTCGGCGCCCGGGGACATATGTCCCCCCCGCCCCCCCCCCCCTCGCTACGCTACGGTGTAAAATAAAATAATGTAAAATAAACAAAATAAAAAATTGGAAAATAAAAAAATGGAAAAAAAAGAATGGAAGATTAAAAAATGGAAAATCGAAAAATGGAAAATATAAAAATGGAAAAAAAAAAAATAAAATGTAATTTAAAAAAAAAATGAAATATATAAAAAAATAAATTGAAACAAAAGTAAAATAAAAAAAAGGAAAATAGAAAAAAGGAAATAAAAAAAACGTAAAATAAGAAAATGTAAAAAGAAAAATAAACCGGGAGCAATCTCCCCTAAACTTTCTCGAATATTGTAATACAACACTACGGCAGATGGCAACTTGGGACAGACACTATTTTTAACCCATTTTTAATTACTTAAACTTTTTATAATAGAATAGAATCTCATAAAAAAAAGGAATTGCTCACCAAGTGAACGCCAAAAAAAAATGTGCATAATAGTGCGGGATATTATTAGTACTTTATAAATTCTCATGCGTTTTTTTTTTGAGGAAACGGAAATAGCGTAAATTGCAACTACCGGTCAACAGAAATTAATCAAAATTCGAAAGAAAGCAGAAAGTTTGAACTTTTACTTACATGTGAATTTTCATTTAGCTATCTGAAAAGTTCTCAAGTTATATGCTTTTGAAAAATTCAAAGTAGAAAAAGTACCAATTCCGGTTATCTGAAATCGCTCAAAAGATACGGATCTACGATTTTGATATAATACTTATATATGAAATTTCATCAACCTAGCTGTAATGGTACTTAAGTTATCTTGTTTACCCACACACAGACACACATACAGACACACACACACAGACATACGGACAAGATTGCAAAACTATGTTTTTCCGCCTCAGGGAGCCCTAAAACATCGAGATTTGCAAAAATCTCGATTTTTTTGCACGATTACAAGACATTCTTTATATTTCGTATAGGAACAGGGCATTCGCCCCCCCCCCCCCTTTCAATTACCCCCGGACCTTTCCCCCCCCCCGACATTACCCCCCCCCCCGGAGAAATTACCCCCTGTTAATTACCCCCCCGCCCAGTAGGACATTACCCCCCCCCCCCCCGGACAGGGTTAGAATTAGGGTTAGGGTTAGGGCTAGGGTTAGAGCTAGGGTTAGGGTTAGGCTTAAACCAATGTCTAGCGCTGGTTTTGGTTTTGTGTGAAGTTTTAGGCTAAGGTGGATGCTTAGGTTTTGGTCTTTTTCTTAAGGTTTGGATTAAAGGAGTATATAGGTATAGAATTCTGGTTAGAGTTAGGATTCTAACTTGAGAGGGGGGGGGGGGGTAATTCCCCGGGGGGTAAATACGGGGGTGAAATGTCCGGGGGGTAATTTCCGGGGGAGAGGGGGGTGGGTGGTGGGTAATATCCTGTAGACACTTCGTATATACGAAAAAATAAAAAATAAAAGTAAAAGAAATAAACCGGGAGTGATCTTCCCTAAACTTTCTCGAATTTTCTTATATAAAAAAACAGGAGATGGGAACTCGGGATATAGCCATGATTTTAATCCATTTTAAATACTTTAACTTTTTAAAATAGAATAAAATCTCGAAGAAAAAAGAATTGCACTCCAAGTGAACGCCAAATTATATGTGCATAATATTATTAGTACTTTATAAATTTACATTAGATTTTTGAGAAATCAGAAATAGCGTAAATTACTACTTTCGGTCAACTGAAATTACTCAAAATTTGATAGAAGGCAGAGAACTAGATGTTTTACCTACATGTTACATTTCATTTATCTATCTGAAATAGTAATCAAGTTATAGGCTTTTGAAAAATTCAAAGTAGAAAAAGTACAACTTCCGGTTATTAGAAATCGCTCAAAAGTTGATACGGATCTACAATTGTAATATAATACTTATATATAAAATTTCATCATCCTAGCTGTAACGGTTTTCAAGTTATGGTGTTTACACACACACACACAGACAAGATTGCAAAACTATGATTTCCGACTCAGGGAGCCATAAAACGTCGAAATTTGCAAAAATCTCAATTTTTTTTTATTTTAAAATTAATGTGGTTAATCTACCTATGAATAAATCAATAAATTAATTAAAGTCTTTAAATAAATTTGTGATTAACAGTCTGTCTGAAAAAAATTGTTCTCTACCTACATACTATTTTACAGCTCTCCACGTAGCGCAGATCCTCTACAGTAGTCAATCAGACAAGCAAACAAAAAAAAAAACAACAAAAAAACAAAAAAACAACAAAACAAATATTCAAACATGTAAACAAACTTGAGTTTTAGTAGTATATAGATAACCACAAACTCATGCTATAAATTAAAGGCTAACAATTAATCTAACCTACTAGACAAACTTTGTTAACCTAAAACAGGTTAAAAATTAAATATAAAACAATTTAAATGTTTAATACGTTTATTGAATTAATTTGTCCAGAGTTTTTCTTTTAAAACGTCATTAGTCTTCTTCTTTCCACAGAAACAATTGATACATTAGTTCAAGCGAGTTTTCATGAACAGTGTATGAGTCAAGATTTAATTTTGTTTTTGCGTTTTCCATGACTGTAAATAGTTTGGATAAGGACAAGAGGTTCTCAGGAATTTGAAAGTGGATGTACACATTTGAAGTTTCGAAGATCTGTGAATAGAAAACAACATATTACTCAATTCCATTTCACATTTCATTTATGGGCTTATCATTCTATATAAAGCAGGGGCGGCTCGCGAGCCGCATGCAGCTCTTTTGAGGTCAAGATGCGGCTCTTCGGCTCCATGCACAAATAATCATTTTATTTTATTTTCAAAACTCATAAAAATGTTCTGCAACACTCGGTTATGAATTATATACAATAAACAATAAACACTTGCTATTCTATTAGAATATTTAGGTACTCCCTATTTTCTATGTACTTCCTATTAAACTGTTCATCCCGAATTGAAACATTCAACTTCATGGTGGATATCACAAAGAAACTAAACGAGCTAAATGTAAAACTGCACGGAAAGGAAAACTCAGCCTATGACTTGCTTTAGAAGTGGATGTTTCGAAAAAAGAAAATTACTTTTTTTTGTTGAAGACACGGAGAGCGGTAAATTACTTGATTTCGAAAAATCTGAAAAAAAAAATCTAGAAGCCAATGCAACTATTAGCATGAATTGCTTCAGCATTACAACAAACAAAACGAAGGATGGGTTCACTGAGAGATTTGAGCTATTCAAAACAAATAAATGCAAGTACTCTGACGTTCATAGTAGACTATTTCAACACAAAAAACAAATGAGATTAACTTTGAGCTATTTGGAATTGATGCTGGTTCGCTTGAAATGCTATTGCTGGATTTGAAAACGACTCATTTGTGGAGCGGAAAATTCATAGAACCCAAAAGCAAGCAGAAAAAGTTGAAGGTCCAGTAAAACATGTACGTTACGCTGAACAACTGGACAGTTGTAAAAGTTGAGGCACTCATACGTGACGCATGGAAAAGATTTGCAGGATGGTACAGTAACGTTGAGAAGTTGACTTATGGAGTGCTGAAGATCTTTAGGTCAACACATTCGTGCTAGCAAGAGTTCTCTTAGATGAATATAATAAAAAGCTAAGTAAGAAGCCAACTAAGTAAAACAGATCTAGAGGCGTGCTTGAAACCTCCTAAAACAAGAAGTTATGAGCCAGATTTAAACAAACTTTCAAACAGCATGCAAGGTCAATGCTCCCATTGATGTATTTATTGTAAATATTCAATGATTATAGTTATATTTTATGATTACTAATTTTATTATTCTAGCAGAGCTAACTAAAATACTATAATATGTTTTGTGCGAAACGTGTAGGCCTATTTTCTAAAAAAAAAAGAATAAATATTATTTTATATTTAAAGCTATTTATTTAAATTATATATATATATATATATATATATATATATATATATATATATATATATATATATATATATATATATATATATATATATATACCTAATCCTAAATAATGAAAAATAAAATGTTAGTGGCCCTTTAAAACTGGTAAATTTGGTAAATTGCATATTTTGGCTGTTACGTCTCAAAAGGTTGCCGATATAAAGGGTTTTAATTAAACATTCGCCAAGCATTCAACACAAATGATAAAATTCGAGAAGATTCGAACTCACACGTTTTTTATTTGGCCACTTTAAATTTAACTCGGACCTTTTTAAATCTGCAACTCTCGCACATCAACTCTACTACATCTACAACTCCAGCATATAAATTAAAGATTAACAATGCTAACCATAACTTTCCTAAATGCTTTCTTGATGTAGATAGGGACCTGTTTGTTGGCTTCCCCCAAATCTTTCAACTGAAAACTGATTGTGTAGTAATTCTCGTATTTTCTCTGTAATTCTTGTGGAATGCCAAGACAAACTACTTTACCGTCGATCAAGACCGCCATCTTTGTGCAAAGTGAGTTAGATTCTGCGAAACTTGGTAGAAATATGGTCATACAAATATTGCAATCATCAGGTGATGTGAAATAAAAATATCATGGGGTTATGTCATGTTATAAATATTTAAAAGTTACTCGTAGTTTTTACTATAGTGTATAATTGTATGTACTTGCAATATACCTTCAAATCACTTTTGTGTTTTCTGATTGTTCAAAAAAATCTGTAAAAATGTTTTTGGGTTTTATTGGTTTTACCTTGTATGGAGTGACAGCTAATAAAAATACGACAATTTACTAAGAAAACGCAGATTTCTTAGGTAGAGGGAAGTAAAAAAATCCCAACTTATTGTAAGTTTTATCAGTAACATAGTTTGGTTTGTTGAATTCATTTTCACTGTCTGATTGTAAACTGTGTTTACACGTTGTGATTTTATTCTGTGTTAAGTATATGCGATTTTTTTAATTGTGTGATTATATTCTGTGTTAAATGTGCTTCCTTTAAATGTTACCATACTGTGTTGAATTACTTCGCTTTGTTTTCTGCACTAAAAATAAACCAATTACATAAAAAAAACCTATATAAAATTAAAAAAAACACAATGAAAATACATTTTTAACCCTAACCCAAATTCCCCTAAGGGTTAGGGTTAGGCTAATGCCAACCCTAACCCTAGCCTTAACCCTAACCCTAAACCAACTAGTTGTAAAAATATTGTTCACAGGCATCCTTACGATTACTAGGACTTGGTTATCTCCAGTTATGTTTGAAAAAATGGTTTATTAATTTTTAATGATTTAATGTAATGTCTAATGAGTTGTAAAATTGATATGTTTTTGCATTTTCATAAAAAACCGAGTGTATCTATAAAGTTAGAATGAAATGGCTGCATTAAAAGTGGATTAAAGTCGAGTTATAATGTTTGCCACACACCCACCAGAATACATTGGAAGCTCAATAAAGCCTATACTAATAAAAACCTTTTTGTGGCCAAGATTATTGTGGAGCCCAACTTCTGATACTGCTTTAAGAAATTCCACATTGCAAATCGGACAAATGGTTCAACTCCTCTAGTTGGTTCGTCCATAAGTAACAATTTCGGCACCCCAATCATCGCAATTGCGAAAGACAGTTTCTTCCTGTTAGCACAACTGCAATATATTTAAATGTAAACATTCATATGTATTTAAATTAGCGGAGCATTTATTTGTTGCTAGGGATGTTAGACAGATACAATAGAAGATCCACATAAATGTAAGCATTAATAAATAAACAAACAAATAAACAAACAAACAAATAAAATAAATAAATAAATGAATAAATAAGTAAATACACAAATAATATAAAAATAAAATAAAATAAAGTAAAACAAAATAAATAAAATAAAATAAAAAATAAATACATAAAATAGATACATAAATACATCAATAAATAAACAAATAAATAATAAAAATGAAATACATAATTAAAATAAATGAATACATAAATAAATACTACAATAAATAAATAAAATAAATAAATTAAAAAATAAATATGTGTGCATATTTGATAATGGTGACATATAACTTAAGAAAAGAAGAAATGATATTGAAAGATGCTCGAGTTAATATGATTTAGAAAGTTTTATAGTCCAATTTTACGTGTTATTTTAATGTTTACTTGTTTTATCTTTATCCCAAATAGTATCTATATTTATAATTTAATAAATGGCAACAACTACCAAATCACATTATAAAATAAACCCGTATTGTTAAATTTAAACGAATTGTTACATTTATATGTTTGGTTAAATTTACCTGTATTGTTTAATATAGATTTTATGTTAAATTTACCTGTATTGTTAAATTTACTTTTTTTGTTGAATTTACCTGTATTGTTTAATTTACCTGTATTGTTAAATTTACCTGTATTGTTTGACGAGGAAATCCACATATGGGAATAAAAAAATCATCTGTGTGACGTAATCAATCATGTGACTAATCTTGTTCTCCGGTACGCCCCGTAACCTCCCAAACAACTCCAGTGTTTGTCTCCCAGTCAGCTGTTTCATCAGAGTCTTACTTTGAGGGCAGTAGCCGATCTGCTTCGATATCTGATACATTGAATTGTAATCGTTATTGCTAATCTACTTCGATATTTGATACATTGAATTGTAATCGTTATTGCTAATCTACTTCGATATTTGATACATTGAATTGTAATCGTTATTGCTAATCTACTTCGATATTTGATACATTGAATTGTAATCGTTATTGCCAATTTACTTCGATATTTAATACATTGAATTGTAATCGTTATTGCCAATCTACTTCGAAAACACACGTTAAATGATCTAATCCTGAAAGTCTCTGAGCAATCGGAAATAGAGCGAAATAACCCATGCTTCACAACTCAGCTTATTGTATACTGTTCAGAACGCAACAGTAGACGCCATTATGTTAACACATTATGTAGAGAACAGTCTCTGACGTCACGTCTGATCACGTGGTCTCTACCGGATGTCAACACACAGCTTACACACTACACGCTCAAGGGACATAACTATGATACAAATGTTACAAGGGACTTAAGGGGATATGCTATGTAATTTCTATTTTTTACAATATAACATCTAAAGCTTTTTAAATACTATTACCATGTTTGGCACATGAAAGAAAGTATTAAAAAGCAAAAAAATGGTTGAAAACAATTTTGGTTGTCATGGAAACCCCAAAAAAACCTCCGCTATTTTGAATTTTATGGTACTTTTAAAAATGCTAAAAATAGCTACAAGTAAGAATTTCACAAGGTCTAAAAGATTGTACCTTTTTAGTATCCAAAATAAAAAAAAAATGCATATTAATTACCAGATACTTTTTTCCAATCAAAGCCATCACAATTCCCCGTGACAAAATTTTTATTTTGCACGAAAAACAACTACTGAAAATATGGTTGGTATTGTTTAACAAAAAGTAGTAGGCTTTTTAGTGTTAAAAACCTGCGAACTGAGAAAAACAGCAAAAGTAACGAAAAGTAGGTCACGAAAAAACCATATCTGTGTAAATTGTAAAGCCGATTGTAAGCTTAGGGTGTTTCGAGATGATGGAAATTAAGATTATGAAACATATGAGAAGTCCAGCTTTCCAATGATGCCAAATACAATCAAGACGGATATAAAACGTTTGATAGAGTGCTCATTAGATCGCGAAAAATTGATTATTTTTTAATTAATATGGTCATCAACATGGTAATTTAAACACATTAAAAAATTATTTCTCATTAAAGTAATTAATTTCTTAATACAAAAATGGACAAAGCATCCAAAAGTGCAAGAAACCCATCATGACGAAAAACAAGAAATTTTGTGATTTTATGCTTAGCATATCCCCAGAACAATGTTTCAATAGATATAACGAAACACTTCTTTATAAAACGCTCAACTATACACACTTTACTACAATTTAATCGCTTAGAAAAAAAATTGCTCTCAAAAGCGCTATAAAATTATCGTGTTCTGGTGGAATTTTGAGAAATCGGAAATAGCGAAAAATACTAGTTCCCGTCACCGGAAATTTCTCAAAATTTGACAAGAGAACTAGATTATAAACCCGAGTATGAAAATTTCATCCACCAGCTGAAACGTTACTTAATTTATCTTGTTTACATACGCAGACAGACGGGAAGACAGACGGGAAGACAGACGAACAAAATTGTAAACTTTTACGACTCTGGAGTGCGTAAAACGTAGAAATTTTCTAAATATCAATTTTAAGCTCTTGCAGGATTAGAGTAACCCTAACCCAACATCATTTACATTCCGTATTAGATACAGTAGGGAAAAGAGGCGAAAACTATCAACATCTCATTACGTTTCGATCACGATGAAATATACTCAATATACTACAAAGCCTGTATGTTTTATTGTAGAGACGCCGATGCTTCAAAGGAAAGCGCAACTTACTGTTGACAAATGGGATTTGATACTCTGTCCGCTGTAGTAAATGTCACCATAGGTTAACATTAATTCCCCGGTCATCATTTTAAGTATGGACGTTTTACCAGAACCATGGTTGCCTAGGAAACCAAAGATGGCGCCTGGTGAAATGCCTAGACACGTGTTTTCCACTGCCGTCAAAATACGATGTTTGATCCGATACTTTTTACACATGTTCAAAAAAACTACTATGTCTGTGAACAAATAGTTTTCATTAGCGACATATACCACATGAAATACAAGATTATAATCGAGGTCATTGCATGATTTCTGGTGTATTAGTAGGATTACAATTTGTATTGTTTGTGTTATATAATGACCTTATGTGTTATATAATGACCTTATGTCTTATATAATGACCTTATGCGTTATATAATGACCTTTTGTGTTATATAATGACCTTATGCGTTGTATTTTTTTTTAATTACAGACATAAAAGTGTACACGCAAACGTTTGGGCGATTGCGCATGCGCATCTATATGTCTACGTATTCATATATATATATATATATATATATATATATATATATATATATATATATATATATATATATATATATATATATATATATATAATATATATATATATATATAATATATATATATGATATATATATATATATATATATGCATATATATGATATATATATTTTTTATGTACCTTTATGTATAAAGTATATGTATGTGTATATGAATATGTAAGTATATTTATAGGTATATGCATATTAGATTGTCTAATCCTACCCTTTTACCTTGCTCTATATTCCCTTTCTGTTTCTCAGTTAACACGCGTACCATCTCCCTCTGAACAGCAGTGTTATTGGCGTAGTACTTTTTGTACCTCGCGCGATGGATCCGGGTATAATCATTAAAACAAACGTAAATATCAGCGCAACAGCAGCAGTAGGCATACCTGTAACACGGACAATCATTTAAACTTAAAGCAGCGGTCGGGATTAGTAGATTGAGATGAACTCAAACAAAATATTAACCAAAATCCCAAACACACACTAGATACTATTAAAGAAATAGTAAAGATAGTTTTTAAAAGCTGCCACGACTTCAATGGAACTTGAGTGAGCACGGTAACTTTTGATTACATTCGATTAATAGCAGTAATGTTTTGATGGCACTTGGAGTAGAACAGATCTATAGATTAGAAATGGCACTTCCGACCTTCTATCTGTCCATTTACCACTCATCCAAATAAATAAATAAATAAATAAATAAATAAATATAAATATATAAATATATATATATATATATATATATATATATATATATATATATATATATATATATATATATATATATATATATATATATATATATATATATATATATATATATCTTTCGGACTGTCTGTCTCTCTGTCTATATTTAAAGTTGAAATGGACTGTGTTTGTATGTGGGTGATGGAAATTTTTTTCTTATGCTTATGGTTTTAATTTCAATTTCAGGTTGGGAAAATTCTACATTTCTCTATTGTAATAAGTTGGTTCATTTTTCAACTATCCGTTTAAACAATCTGAAGTGCAAAAAAAATAAATATTTGTTATTTATTTTACAAATTACTTCCATCGATCGGTATATAAATGCATAAAATTAAAAGTAATATTAGAAAAAAAATTGTAAGTAGAGCCTACTTCCTTTTGTTTGTTCTTATGTTAGGATACACGTATTGATTTTGTATCGAATTAATTAGGTGCAGGGTGGTAGGGTTAGGGTTAGGGTATTGAAATGTATTTAAATACTAACTTTCTTTATTTTATAAACCGAATGTGACATTTACTAATTCTTTTCTTTATCAATTTTACTTTAGAGGTAGTTTATAAATGTCGTCACTCTTCTGATTTGAGTTTATAGGTTATCACTTGAAACCAGAGTTTCTTCCATTCATTTCTGTCCGCCCCATCCACCCCCAGGAAATTTTAGCCCGCCCACTTCCCCCCCTGCCCCCCCGAAAAATTTCAGGTTCCCCCTCCCCCTAAGAGATTAAAAAACCTTGAAGAAACAGCTTGAAACACGCGTCACAGAAGCATAGAGTAGATTACAAATATCGTTAACAGAAAAATATTATTATTTTAGATTAAATTCTATTTTTAAAACTGATGACTAATAAAGCCTAGGAATTCTAGTACTTATTTTTTTCTATTATTAGTACAGTTTGCATAGTTGTAGAGTATTTGGTAACCTTGGAATTTTAAAGATTGCAAAAAAAAAATTCGACTCCGAAAACTATAAAACGTTAAGATTTGTTCCAATCTTGCTTTCAATTTAATACAAAATTGGAATACAATATAGACGAGAAAGTAGATGAGAAAGTAGATGAGAAAGTAGATGAGAAAGTAGAGGAGAAAGTAGAGGAGAAAGTAGAGGAGAAAGTAGAGGAGAAAGTAGTTGAGAAAGTAGAGTAGAAAGTAGATGATAAAGTATTGGAGAAAGTAATTGAGAAAGTAGAGGAGAAAGTAGATCTGGAAATACTAGAGAAAGTAGATGAGCATGTAAAAGAGAAAATAGATGAGAAAGTAGACGATTGAGTAGATGAGAAAGAAGATGAGAAAGTATAAGAGAAAATAGATGCGAACGTAGAGGGGAAAGTAGATAAGAAAGTATAGGAGAAAGTAGATGAGAAAGTATAGGCGAAAGTAGAGGAGAAAGTAGATGAGAAAGTAGATGAGAAAGTATAGGAGAAAGTAGATGAGAAAGTATAGGAGAAAGTAGATGAGAAAGTAGATGAGAAAGTAGAGGAGAAAGTAGATGAGAAAGTATAGGAGAAAGTAGATGAGAAAGTAGATGAGAAAGTAGATGAGAAAATATAGTAGAAAGTAGATGATAAAGTATTGGAGAATGTAAGTGAGAAAGTAGAGGAGAAAGTAGGTGAGAAAGTAGATGAGAAAGTAAAGGGTAAGTAAACGATAATGTACACGAGAAAGTAGACGATATGTTTAAGTTCATAATAATGGTTAATATAATTTTGATTCTTCTTCTTCGTTCTTAATTTTTAGTGTTTGAAGGGATCGAGTCTTATCTGCCGACTTGACCACGCCTCCATCTCAATTAAGGATACGTGTCAACTGGTTATGCGCCATTGAGGCCATTGACTCCGATTTCAGCCTGCTTTTCTTTTTGGATTTGCTTCCGTAGCCTTTGTCCAACCAAGAACAAACTAACAGGCAGCAGTTGTTTGATTTTGGAGTTGTCTCTCCTAGAAGAGTTGCTGTCCCCAGCTTACGAGCCTCATCTGCCCGAGGGTTCGAATTCGAGATTTAAGTAAGTGGATTTTCAAATAAGGTGTAGAAATCTTAAGATAACATGGATTTGTAAATTAAGATTATGTAGAGTTAATAGATTCAAGAGAAAATAATTACCATATTCTTTGAACGTAGTTAAGCTCGATGATTAACAAAATAAACCACGAACATATTGCATGAAGCAGAAAAAATCTCGCCGTTTGATCACACCACTCAAATTCTTGAAAATCAATATCTGTGATGTCAAGTAGAATAAAAGGAAAATCGAGAATTTTATGTAATTTGTAATTACACCAATAGAACTACAACTGTAATTGCATACACAAATACATGTTTATGCGACGAATACAAACAAAAACATAACTCAAATAAGAGTATAAATATGAACATGAATAATAATGCAAATGTAAATTCAACTACAAATACGGCAGAAAACACGTACATAATCATATACTCGTATTACTTTGAAAGCGCTATAATGTATTTTTAAATACCTTGCTGGGTATATTTCCTGTCAAATAATTTGAGTAACGTTTTGTGAAGCATTAAATTAGGCGAGATAATGTCCAGTGCGGAAGTCACAAACTCTTCAAAGTGCAGTAGCTTTGCGGCTTGAGATTCATCAAGCATAACTAAATAGAAATGATTGAAACTAAGATAATGATTAGGTAGTAATTATAATTGTGATTTCTGAAGTACTAATAAGCAAATTTTCTCGGATTCAAAATGTAAAAATTATGATTTATACCATTTTATTTGTACATTATCTTTTATTTTAATACGTCAGTCCATAAAAAGTACTCGTGTATTCATTTAAAAAAGACGGTACAACCCAAAATCACCACAGGCTGTAAGAAACCTTTACCACTAAACTTTATTGAACGACGTTATACCATCGAACCCTAACCCTAACCCTAACAACCCACAATCACCCCAGGCTGCAAGAAACCTTTACCACTAAACTTTATTGAACCACGTTATACCATCGAACCCTAACCCTAACCCTAACAACCCACAAGCACCCCAGGCTGCAAGAAACCTTTACCACTAAACTTTATTGAACCACGTTATACCATCGAACCCTAACCCTAACAACCCACAATCACCCCATGCTGCAAGAAACCTTTACCACTAAACTTTATTGAACGACGTTATACCATCGAACCCTAACCCTAACCCTAACAACCCACAATCACCCCAGGCTGCAAGAAACCTTTACCACTAAACTTTATTGAACCACGTTATACCATCGAACCCTAACCCTAACAACCCACAATCACCCCATGCTGCAAGAAACCTTTACCACTAAACTTTATTGAACGACGTTATACCGTCGAACCCTAACCCTAACAACCTACAATCACCCCAGGCTGCAAGAAACCTTTACCACTAAACTTTATTGAACCACGTTATACCATCGAACCCTAACCCTAAGCCTAACAACCCACAATCACCCCAGGCTGCAAGAAACCTTTACCACTAAACTTTATTGAACGACGTTATACCATCGAACCCTAACCCTAACCCTAACAACCCACAATCACCCCATGCTGCAAGAAACCTTTACCACTAAACTTTATTGAACGACGTTATACCATCGAACCCTAACCCTAACAACCCACAATCACCCCATGCTGCAAGAAACCTTTACCACTAAACTTTATTGAACGACGTTATACCATCGAACCCTAACCCTAACAACCCACAATCACCCCAGGCTGCAAGAAACCTTTACCACTAAACTTTATTGAACCACGTTATACCATCGAACCCTAACCCTAACCCTAACAACCCACAATCACCCCATGCTGCAAGAAACCTTTACCACTAAACTTTATTGAACGACGTTATACCATCGAACCCTAACCCTAACAACCCACAATCACCCCATGCTGCAAGAAACCTTTACCACTAAACTTTATTGAACGACGTTATACCATCGAACTCTAACCCTAACAACCCACAATCACCCCATGCTGCAAGAAACCTTTACCACTAAACTTTATTGAACGACGTTATACCATCGAACCCTAACCCTAACCCTAACAACCCACAATCACCCCATGCTGCAAGAAACCTTTACCACTAAACTTTATTGAACCACGTTATACCATCGAACCCTAACCCTAACCCTAACAACCCACAATCACCCCAGGCTGCAAGAAACCTTTACCACTAAACTTTATTGAACGACGTTATACCATCGAACCCTAACCCTAACAACCCACAATCACCCCAGGCTGCAAGAAACCTTTACCACTAAACTTTATTGAACGACGTTATACCATCGAACCCTAACCCTAACCCTAACAACCCACAATCACCCCAGGCTGCAAGAAACCTTTACCACTAAACTTTATTGAACCACGTTATACCATCGAACCCTAACCCTAACAACCCACAATCACCCCAGGCTGCAAGAAACCTTTACCACTAAACTTTATTGAACGACGTTATACCATCGAACCCTAACCCTAACAACCCACAATCACCCCAGGCTGCAAGAAACCTTTACCACTAAACTTTATTGAACGACGTTATACCATCGACCCTGACACTCATGGGGCAGATATAGTTTAAATAATTGCAATTATATTAATGACTTCAAACACCGTTACGTGTAGGCGTTGGGTATTTTGTTAAAGACTTACCAACAACAAAATTCCAGGCTATTAAAAGAGTGACAGATTCCTCCGGTCCTCCCAAACAATAGTTGAGGAGATACAAATAAGGTATGATGTCTAACACAAAGAAGGTCAAGGTTAGCAGAAGGGGGGTATACACCTGAATGGCCGGGTGAACTAAGGAGCACGTCCATTGAAGTAGGGCCACAAACAGACAGACGATGGAATCAAAAAGGAAATGTGCACTCCAGTACCTGCTTGGGCTGAGGCCACTGATCAACTGCAGGTGTTTAAAACCTGACTTTTGGAGAAACAAGATTATGTTATGTAAGGTCACACCCTATCATGGATATTTTTGAAATATGAAACTCTGTTCAATTAAAATAAATTTTATTTCTTCATTAGCTGCCATAACATAAAACGTATTTGCTGTCTTTAATAAAAGTTTTGTCCCACAATTTGTAAAAGATCCCATGAGCGACCAAAACCTTTATTAAAGAAAGCAAATTAGTTTTATTTTCTTATTTGATTGCATTTAAAAACTTGTTCCTATACAGTTTAAAAAAAAATCATTTTGTTTTATTTTCTACTTTTTAGTGATTCACTAGGCATGCTGCCCAGCTTCGCTTAGGCTTTCGAAAACATTGAGAATTTGAATGCTTGATTAATTCGCCCGAGGGTTGGTCTACGACCTCAGGAGTTATGAAGAGGTTCCTACGTGGACATTTTTTTTCGATTTATAGCTCATATAAGGCGCCGGTCAGTCGAGGTCAGTTTTGACCCCCTCATCGTAGACTTTTCGGCCAACTGGCCCCAGTGTTCTGTCGTCCCAAGGCAAGATCCTGCAAAATTTGAAGCGCCTGCGGCGCCGGGAAGTGCCCTATAGGGCATCCGACAACTTTGCTTTATATATTATAGAGATTAGCAAATTGCATAGATAAACAAAAATTTCAATAAAGTAATTAAGGCCTGAAATACTTAAGTATAGAAATGTATCTAGATCTAGATCTAGGTAGGGTCTACATCTGTGTAAGTCTAGTTTTTCCGTAGATCTATATCATCTAGATCTAGATCTAGAACCTCTAGATCTAGATGATCTAGAATCTCTAGATCTAGATGATCTAGAATATCTAGATCTAGATGATCTAGAATATCTAGATCTAGAATATCTAGATCTAGAATCCTAAAAGAATTTTTTTTTAAGTTTAGCCCGAGCAAAATTGTATTGTATAAATTTTATAGCGTACGTAGATCTAAATGAAATTTAAATGAAATAGTTCATTTCTTTTTATTCTAAACACGGCAGATGACGTCATTAGTTAATGTATAAACATTAGTGACGTCACTATTTTATGCATTCTTTTTCACAACTATAAACGCTTTTCCTGTTGCATAATTAAAACTGTTTCTCTACATTCGAATACGCCTTTATTTTTTATTTTTCTTCTTTAAATAAAATTGTGGTTATACATTTAAAACATCTAACATATTATTTTCAACAAAAGTCCGTATCAAGTTCTCCATATATCGCTGCCGATTCTGACGTGATATCCGGCGAAAATATTTTGCGGACAGAGAGAGAGAGAGAGAGAGAGAGAGAGAGAGAGAGAGAGAGAGAGAGAGAGAGAAGTGCGTACATGGGCTATTATATATTAGGATAATTTATGAAGTGGACACGACTAAAAATATTTGCTTTAAAACGCCATAAGTAGCTCGCGATGTCTGAAAGACGATTCTCTGCCCCGTGATAGCAGCCATCGGTGAGCATAGGCCTAGTTTACAGACAAGAGCAAGCTTTAATTAGTTTCTGATGGTTTAAAAACTTTATTATCTGCACTTAACAGCCTTTATTAGTTCGACCCGGCTCTACGATTATAAACATTCGGTGTGGACCGCAGCTCTTCGGGCTGTTCGGTTGATGGCGTCTAGCTAGTTATCTCCCCTACTCTTATTGGATATAGTAATCTATCCAGTGATCGATCTCTAGCATTTCATCTTGTAGTTTCCGCTTGGCTCAGAAACGGTTTAATTAATTTTTAATTGCTAATATAAAATAAAAATAAATCAAATGAACCGGCAGTGAGCTCCCCTAAGCTTTCTCGAATATTCTTATATAACACTAGGGGCGATGGAAAATCGGGATATAGACATGATTTTTAATCAATTTTTAATTACTTAAACTTTGTAAAATGGAATAGAATCTCATAAAAAAAAGAATTGCGCACCAAGTGAACTCCAAACACTCTGTGTATAATAGTGCGGAATTCTAGTACTTTATAAATTCATTTGCGTTTTTTTTTAGATATCGGAAATAGCGTAAAGTACTACTTCCGATCAACGGTACTTATTCAAAATTTGAAAGAAGGCAGAAAATTAGATCTTTTACTTAAATGTGAAATTTCTTTTATCTAATTAAAACTGTACTCAAGTTAAAGGCATTTGAATAACCAAATGTAGAATAATTTTCACTTTCAATTACCGGAAATCGCTGAAAAATTGATACACAACTATTTGATACGAGCCAATCCGCGGCGTAGTATATTCGACACTACCAATGCTGCCGCTGAAAATATTTGCTTTAACACACTATCAGTAGCTTGTTAAGGACGATAACCCACCCCCTCCTCCTTTCCAATAACCCCCCCCCCCCGTGAAAGCAGCATCCTCTTAGTTACCTCCCCTCCGAACAAAATTATCTGTCCCTAATAGCCGTCACTACGATTGTAAACATTTGGTGAACCACAGCTCGCCAGACCGGTGGAGGTGGTAGCGATATACCTAGAGAGGAAGAGAGGGGGCTGCTAGGCGCGCTTACGTCTTGGTGTTTTCTCGCAAGGTCCCCATGAAGAGAATTATATATATATAGATAATACGAAATTTCCTCAACCAAGCTGTAATGGTACTCAAGCTATCGTGTTCACAGACATACATACACACAGACGTTCGGACAGAATTGCAAAGCCCAGTCTATCCAACTCGATCACGCGTAGAACGCCGACATTTTTTATAATTTTTGCTCGATTAAAATAAGGAAGGTCTTTGTAAAAATTTCAATTTCGTTTTTTTTGCACGATCTGTGGCGTAGCGAGGGGGTGGGGAGCGGGGGTGCGGACCGCACCGCTTGACATTATTTAGGGGCGTGACACCAAGGCAAAAAATAGCCAAATATATAGAGAGAAATGATAATTCCACTAATTCCACGTAATTAAGTGATTAATTCAAGGGGGGAGGGGTGTAAATCGAAAGTTTGAGTGAGGGTGGGGGGGGGGGGGGGGTGGGGTTGCACCAAAAAAGCGGATGTAGGTGGGGTTAGCTTGTGATGAGTGTTTATGGGATCAGCTCAAAAAGGCATACACGTGTCTCGCTGTGTTAACTTTTTCTGTGTGAGGTTTTTCAATTCACAATTAGATCTGATAAATAACCTTTCTAATGTACTTGAAAATGGACTGTAAATGATTAATATACATTTTTAAGTGAATGTTTGATGATTGCATGCTAACATCCACTAAAAAGAGTAAAACGATTTGCCAAGAAGAAAAGTCAAGAATATAAAATGTGATACATATCTTCAGCTAAAAACGGATGTCTAGTCGCAAGGGTTAAAAGAAATTGCTGCCACTTAAGACTCACTTTTGACGTTTCTGGTTAAATCAACAGCATTTGTATCTACACCCACGAATAAAGAAACATCCTATAATGTGGCAAAAGAAATACCCATCGAAGTGCGATGAAAAAGTTATCAATGCTCATGACGTCAGTGATTTCAAACCTTCAACCAGCATACTATGCTAACCCTAAGCCTAAACCAACCAGCATACTATGCTGAGGTCCAGATAAACTTACTATCAGATAATGAAATCCTTGACCATTCTATTGCTATTTGATAAATGACATCAATTTTGTCCATCATACAAATTACAGTAAAAATTGTACTGGCAAAAGTAAGGGTCTGGGCATATTGGTAACAGTTACATTATTCATATACTCTAACTATTCTCACATGAATCGTCAGGTCTGCAAGAAATACCCACATTGACATTAAGTATTTAAAAAAAATATTTGACACATAAGATAAGTTGTGGAGAAAACCACAATATATTTGAAACATAAGATAGCTTGTAGATTAAAGGGTTGGATGTAGTGTGACGACATGTTAGTATTGCCGAGGGGGGGGGGGGGGGGGGATGTCTGACTTTTTGACAAAAAAACCGTGATGTCATTTAAGGAAGACCCCATATCTCTGAATAACCTGATACAATAAACTTCATATTCAGTGTTTCTTCGAGACTGTTTTCTCCGGGTGGGGGTGGGGGGCGGACACTTTTAAAAGTATATATTTTCTATATAAATTCCATTTCGATGAAGGGGAGGGGTAGACTTTCCCGAGGTGCCTGGAAGAAACACTGTTCATATTCTTTCGTTAAACATAATTCTTGCACGTTTTAAAAAAAAGTTAATATTTTCAACTGGAATTTAATATACACTTTGGAGAAGCTTGTTTTCATTTGAAGTTTTTAAACTATTCAGTAATTGTTTAACATTTTTTTGTAATGTGCTTTTTAAAACTTAATAACTCGTGTGACTCTGAAAATGCATGTCCCTTTAAGAAACAAACTGTTTCACATTGTGATATAAAACAAACCGGGAGTGATCTCCCCTAAACTTTCTCAAATATTCTAATATAAAACTATGAGGGATGGCAACTCAGGATATAAATAATAGTTGTAATTCATTTTTAATTACTTAAACTTTTTATAATAGAATAGAATCTCGTAAAAAAAAAGAATTGCACTCCAAGTGAACGCCTAATAAATGTGCATAATAGTGCGGGATATTATTAGTACTTTATAAATTTACATGCTTTTTTTTGAGAAATCGGAAATAGCGTAAATTAGTACTTCCGGTCAACGGAAATTATTCGAAATTTGACAGAAGGTAGAGAATTAGATCTTGTACTCAAATGAGAAATTTCATATATCTATCTAAAATAGTACCCAAGTTATAGGCTTTTGAAAAATTCAATGTAGAAAAAGTACCACTTTCGGTTATCGGAAATCACTCAAATGTTGATCGGGATCTACGATTTTGATAAAAAACTTATACATGAAATTTCATCAACCTAGCTGTAACGGTTCTCAAGTTATCGTGTTTACACACACACACACACACACATACACACACACACACAGAGAGACACACAGACAGACACACAGACATACGGACAAGATTGCAAAATTATGTTTTTCCGTATCAGTGAGGTGTAAAACGTCGAGATTTGCACAAATCTTGATTTTTTTTTTGTGCACGATAATCCACGACCACAAGACTTTCTCTATACTTCGTATATACGAGAAAGTAATAATTTATCCGGTTTACTTGCATTTAAGGCGTTCGAATAGGTAATAGATTTTCGCGAAAAACGACCAATAAAAATTGATACTTACACTTTTTTCTATAACTAAACTGTAGAGGATGTATGCTTCAGTAGACCACAAAGCTACACTCAATGCCCAGGCTGGCAGGTAAATGTGCATCTGTTCCAAACTTGAATATTTAGAACTATTCAATTCCGATTTTTGAGGAATAGAATAAAATGTTCTAGCACGACTAATAATGGTGTGGTTGCTTCCAAAGTATGCCTTGATATGGGCATTTAAAATGGACTGGATCTGGATTAAAAAAAATTCAGTGTAAAAATGCTGATTTTCATAAGATCATAAAATAGCGACAATAGCATTTCAATGGAAGCGAGCGAGAAAGTATTCGAGAGGCCCATTAATTAATTTAAAAATCACAATTACAATTAATATGGTTATAAAATCTTGTCTGTCTGGTTTTTTTCGGACTTTACTAAAGATTGGATGTATTTGATGTTTTTAATATTTTTGGTAACTAAATAAAAATTAAAAAAAAAAAGCAATATGGTTTTAACGTGTAATGGCGACATAAGCAATGGCATCTTGCTATTCGATAGGCTGCCATAAATTATATTGTACACATTGTAAGCGAAAAAAAAAGGAAAACAAGGTCATGGGGTTTAAATTTTCATTTAACTGCAAAGTTTTGTAAACAAATAGTTTTCGATCACGGAGTTCCTGTACAGCCAATCAATATTTGGGTTGGAGGGGGGGGGGGGGAAAGAAAGGGGGGGGGGGGTTATGGTCCTTAACGAGCTACTTATAGTGTTTTAAAGAAATATTTTCAGTGTCAGCGTTGGTACTGTCAAATTCACAAATTATGAATTACTGAAAAGTAGAAAAAACAACTAAATAGCGGCGTATGTTATGCCGCGGGTCGGCTCGTTCTTATATAAAACAATAGGGGATGGGAACTCCATTTTAAATACTTAAAGTTTTTAAATAGAATAAAATCTCGTAGAAAAAAGAATTGCACACCAAGTGAACGCCTAATAAATGTGCATAATAGTGCGCAATATTATTAGTATTTTATAAATTTACATGCGTTTTTTGAGAAATCGGAAATAGCGTAAATTAGTACTTCCAGTCAACGAAAATTACTAAAAATTTTACAGAAAGTAGAGAATTACATCTTTTACTTACATGTGAAATTTCATTTATCTATCTAAAATAGTAATCAACTTTTTTGGCTTTTGAAAAATTCAATGTAGAAAAAGTACCACTTCCGTTTATCGGAAATCGCTCAAAAGTTGATACGGATCTACGATTTTGATAAAATACTTATCTATGAAATTTCATTAACCTAGCTGTAACGGTACTCAAGTAATCGTGTTTACACACAGACAGACAGACACACACACACAGAGACATACGGACAAGATTGCAAAATTATGTTTTTCCGTATGAGTGAGGTGTAAAACGTCGAGATTTGTAAAAAATCTCAATTTGTTTTTGTACGATTACAAGACTTTCCCTATACTTCGTATATACGAGAAAGTAAAAAAGCAAGTTTTTATTCCATGCCAACAACATGATGGAAGGATTCTTGTCAACTCGCTCGCCTCCATTTTATTCTCAAAATTATTATGAACATGACCATAAAACGCTGAGAAAATTAGAGAACTGTATTATCTTATTTTACATTTTTTCTAACCGTGCAAAATAAAAAGTACAATTTGATTTCGGATTTTAGATGCTTTAACCACATGAGCCTTTACAATAGGGGCTTTGACCATAGGTGGGTTGACCGAACCGTGGCTTTGTCCACGGCGTGGGTTTGATCATAGCGGGCTTTGTCCAAAAGTGGTAATTTTAGAATAATAATACAAATAATAATAAAAATAATAAAAATAAAATCACTGCTGATGATAGAACTAGCGGCCCCAGCCGACGACAGTTTCAATACGACGGGTTAGGGTTAGGATGATAGAACTAGCGGCCACACCCGACGACAGTTTCAATACGACGGGTTAGGGTTAGGATGATAGAACTAGCGGCACCAGCCGACGACAGTTTCAATACGACGGGTTAGGGTTAGGATGATAGAACTAGCGGCCCCAGCCGACGACAGTTTCAATACGACGGCCAATCATCACAAGATGACAAGTGTTCCAGTAGGACGTAAAACGTATCCGTATCGTGATTTTTCTATATCGTGGAACCCTTCGCGTAACTATGCATGTACGTCACGAACCGTGTCAACGCCACCTATACGGGCGCGCATTGATCGTGTATATACGTTTTGTGATGAACATGATTTTTATTTCTATATAGTGGCCCGGTAGTCGACTTGTAATGTGTGATTTCTTTCCTAATATTTTAATCCTATTATACTAACTATGCCGAGCACAAAAAGAAAGTGGTCGCACACATATTTACTATAAGGATTCAGCTATATAACTGAATGTCAGAGGCGTAGCGACTCTTCCCGGCGCCCGGGGACAAACTTTTCGATTTGCACCCCCCCCCTCGAGATTTCGATTTGCACCCCGCCCCTTCAAACTTTCGATTTGCACCCCCCCTCGAGATTTTGATTTGCACCCCCCCATCAAACTTTCGATTTGCACCCCCCTAAACCTTTCAATTTATTTTTCCAACCCATTTTGGCGCCCCCTAAGGTCGGCGTCCGGGGACATATGTCCCCCCCGCCCCCCCTCGCTACGCTACTGCTGAATGTGAAGGAAGGTAGCGTTTTAAGCACACGATTTGCAATGCAACATAAGCAATTCTACTCTAGCACCAACAAAACTTAAGGGAACACTTCCTTTAGCTTAGTATAGACGGAAGATACAAGAACAAAACGCTCGCTGAAATCAAGACGAAGCCAAGCATTCCTGAATTTGACTCTGACTTATTCATATATTCATTACTTGCCGTACAATTAAATGTCTAAATGCAAAAAATGACGTTTAAGAAATTATACAAAACGCTAAACCTAACTTTAAACCTGACTCTAATCACAATCAATCACAAATAAAAACATAACCCAACCCAAGCCACAAATACAAACTTAGCTGTACGCAAAAAAAACAACATAACCACAAACATAAGCATAAACCATCTCTCACTTCAACCTCAATCACAAATATAAACATAAATACAAACCTTATCCACTGCCCCTATTTTTTAGGTGAGATATTTGTGCTACTTACCACATAAACTTGCGTGTAGACGGATGGGCTGGATGTGTAAACTAGATTGTGAAAAGGTGGCTCGTACAGATCAACACCCAAAACGGTCACAGAGTCTACAGACGCATTCGTTTTAATCCAATCCAATAGAAACGTGGGAAAACTCTGGATAAATAGACATAGCAGGAAAACACATACTAGTTAGTGTTATGTTTTTTTTCAGTTATTAGCTGTCAGATTTAGTGTTTTGTGTTTTTAGGTTAAATTATTACATGGCTAATCAATTATGGTTAGTGTTGTGTATTTTTATAAGCTTTTATTTCCTCTGTCGGTCTTTTTTTCGACCTTCATAGACCGAAACGGGCGATCACAATTTTGAGCACTTCTAACTGACCGATTCATCTCAATGTAATCTGACATCAAATTTAAATTAAATGGATACCTAATTAATGTTTTATAAATTAATTAGAATTTTCCGAAATCAGTAGGGTTCCCTATATCTATTCCGCACTATTATACGCACATTATCATGTACATTTGGTGCGCAATCGTTTTTGTTAATTTAACGTACCGAGGAAAATGCATGAAAACGTTTTATTAACAACGTTTATGTAACAATGCACTAAAACGGAGAAAATATATGATTTTTAAAACAAATGTAATAAACACTACTATTTTAATAACTATATCTATGCTAGAATTATATTTGTTGTACTTTCAATCAAACTAGGCCGTAAATTGTTCTTTGATACTACTGGTTAGCTGTGTTTTATTAGTAATACTTTCATACATCAAGTTGCACATTTGTCAGACCTAACCCTAACCCAAACCACATACAGAAGCAAACTGTAACTCTATTTAAAAAACACAAAAAAACCCACATAAATTCATACCATATCCATATTCACATAAAGTCTCTCAAAGTTTTGAGGTAAACTTTCATTCAATCTTTCAAAAATGGCGACAGTTCGTTCGTTGGGGATCCGCATTGCTATGGTCACCTTCTCCTCCAGTCCGGCAGCAAGATTTATTTGAGTTGTGCCATTATTGCCAGAGCTCGTAAAGTAGACCACAGCCATGCATACTGAGGTCAAGGCCATGTGTAGCGTGATTATCCGGTATACAAGTTCAAGGTTCTGGTTAAGGAAAATCCACTTTTTGACAAACATGGCGTAGAGTTGTTGACAAAATAAGGCAGCACCTTCGTTTGCCTTGTAATCTACCATGCAGCGTTGAAGATCGTTCTTATCTGAAGGTTAACATTTTTTAATCCGATTGATAATGGAGTTTTAAGTTTTTTAATCTGATTGTAATTGGAGATATATATTTTACTAGTCGTAAAGTTATTTGTAAAGAACCGTGATTTATGTGCTCATTAAGCATCATATACCCTGCGCTGCCCGGTGTTTTGGAATTTATGACGTATGTAAATATGGGCGTTTGTGAAAATGTAAACATAAACGCAAAAAACGAACGCAAAAATGAACGAAAAAAGCCACCCAAAAACACACAAACGTAAACATAAACACCCATAAACGTAAACACAAACAATCATAAATGCAAACTCAAACATAAACGCAAATGCAAACTTAGTTGGAAACATAAACACGAACATAAACGCAAATATAAATACAAACGTAAACGCAAACAATGACGCAAATAGAAAGATAAACGTAAACATAGAGAACATATAGCAACCGATTCTTAGTTATTATTGATTAAAAATAATAATTAGTTAACAGTATTTTCAAGGTAAAGGTTGGGCGTAGCGCTGACCACACTATCCTTTTTAATGATGACGTGACAGAAAAAGATGAACTGAACTTGCCCATAGACCGTCAGGTTTGGAAGGAGAACTACTTTTACATTCAGGGTATAAAAAAAAAGATAGTGTTTAAAAAATCGGTTTTTACCTACCACATTACACTTTATCATTCCATACTAATTATATAATTGTTTTTTTTCCAACATCAAAATAAATTTAAAAAATAATTACTTTTCTGATGTAATTTTTTTGTAGGTCATCTATTTAGTGAAATAATCGGTACAAAGGGACGTATTTTGTAAACTTTTTTTCGGACAAATTAAACTTTTTGTAAAAGATAATATATTTTGTTTGATTCAATTCAAATGATAAGTGGTGAAATAAATATACGTAGTTTTAAAACGTTTAATATTGAAATTTCTAGATGTCAATTGGGATTTTAGTACACATATTAACATTTTAAAAAAATTACACAAGGGCGATCAATTCGAGTTTTAAAAAAATATTCATGTCATTCAAATACATATATTGCCGCCACATACTGATAAACCAACTTTTACATTTGAAATCTGATGGTTTTTGAGGTTTTAAAATCAATAATCTGATTGTAATTGGACGCATACATTTCGCACCGATCCGAAGCTGAAACCTAAACCTGAACCTGAATCTGAACATGAACATAAGCATTCATTAAGTCAAAGTAGTTGTAAGATGGCACTTTTATCCGGTCTCGGTATATGTGCAAAGTTTTAGAGAAATTAGTGTGTTAGAAATGTCGAAATTTCACTGAGAGGTTTCAATAAATGACAACATACATAAGCACTACAAAGGCTCGAAGAAAGGACGAAAAAGCACGACAAAAGAACACAAGTTAAATACAAGCTTGTAATAAAAGTAATTTGTTTTCTCATAAATATTAAATTAAACTTATAAATTTACTATAATATGTTAGCTGGGTACATGTGAGTGGCTGGTCCACCAGAGAGTGGTTTTATTACAATTGCGCCTTTTTAGGAAATGGAAATCTATTAAAACGAGCAAGATCAGTCAGCGATGGATAACTAAATTATTAAAAATAAATATTTACGCCTACTTTGTGGTCAGATGAATGAAAGACCTATATCGTTGTCATTTGTACCTCGTTGTTGGCTAATAAAAACGCATATCTTGTGGTCGGCGTCTGTCCTAAACTATTAGTTAACAAAATGGTCAGCGTGCGTATTAAACTGTAGGTCAATTTTTATAAGATGGGGGATGTGTGATGTGATTAGAGTCAGCAGCATAGACCAAGTCGTCGTGATGAGATACAGAATCCACTGAGAGACTAATTCAGAAAAAAGGCGACACAGAAAAATAACGGAGACAGAAAAAAATGTGTTGCTTTTGTAAGTAGAGCCGCTATTTAACACATGTAGATACATGAAATAGGTTAGTCGAAACTCGGAAAGGTTGACTTTACAGAAAATGCTATTGAGTTTTCAAAATATCCAGTTTTTTAAAGTTTCATCCATTTTTCAAATCTATAACATTGATGTACACTGTCAGCGCAAGAATAATGGTTGACAGAACTCAGGATTTATCATCTTCTTTTCCAGTTTGTAACCAGACACACGGAGCTGATAAAATAGGGTTTATTGGTTTTTAAAACCTTAGACTATAGGGGACAGTGTGGTCAGCACCATGCCAAGCCATCAAGCAAAGCCACCATGCCCAGCCACCATGCCCAGCCACCATGCCCAGCCACCATGCCCAGCCACCAAGCCCATCCACCATGCCCAGCCATCATGCCCAGCCACCAAGCCCAGCCATCATGCCCAGCAACCAAACCGAGCCACCCTGTCCAGCCACCATGCCCAGCCTTCATGCCCATCCACCATGCTCAGCCACCAAATCAAGCCACCATGCCCAGCCACCATGCCCAGCCCCCATGCCCAACCACCACGCCCAGCCACCATGCCCAGCCAACAAACCGAGCCACCATGCCCAGCCACCATGCCCAGCCACCAAGCTAAGCCACCATGCCCAGCCACAAAGCACAGCCACCAAGCCCAGCCACCATGCCCAGCCACCATGCCCAGCCACCATGCCCAGCCGCCATGCACAGCTGCCAAGCCCAGCCACCACGCCCAGCCACCATGCCCAGCCAACAAACCGAGCCACCCTTTCCAGCTACCATGCCCAGCCGCCATGCCAAGCCACCATGCCAAGCCACCATGCCCAGCCACCAAGCCCAGCCACCATGCCCAACCACCATGCCCAGCCGCCATGCCCAGCCAACAAACCGAGCCACCCTTTCCAGCTACCATGCCCAGCCACCATGCCCAGCCACCATGCCCAGCCACCAAGCCCAGCCACCATGCCCAGCCACCATGACGACCTACTGACCCTAGCCTGGGTAAACACTCTATCATCCATACTCTCCGTCCCCGATTCATTATTTTTTGTCCAATCAGGAATCTTTCCTTGTCACTTGGTTTAGAGAACTTTTTTTTAAAACGATATTCACTTTCAGTTTATTCAGAAACAGTAACAACTGCAGGCACTAAGGCCTTTTTCCACATTTGGCCGTTCTTTTTACTTTCTCGTATATACGAAGTATAGAGAAAGTATTGTAATCGTGCACAAAAATAACATGAAATTTTGACAGTTTTCACGTTTTTACTCCTCAGTCCTTCATCACATCCGAAGTATAGAGGACTTACTTTAATCAGGCAAAAATTATTAATACAAATATATAAACATTTTGGCGTTTTATGCGTTTTCGGATCGTAAAAACTGCAATTCTGTCCATATGTCTCCATGTGTGTGTGTGTGTGTGTCTGTGTGTAAACACGATAGCTTGAGTACCGTTACAGCTAGGTTGATGAAATTTCATATAAAAGTATTTTATCAAAATCGTAGATCCTGATCAACTTTTGAACGATTTCCGATAATCGAAAGTGGTACTTTTCTAGTTTGAATTTTTTTTAAAAGACTATAACTTGAGTACTATTTCAGATAGATATATGAAATTTCACACGTAAGTAAAAGATCTAATTCTCTACCTTCTGACAAATTTTGAGTAATTTCCGTTGATTGAAAGTACTAATTTACGCTATTTCCGATTTCTCAAAAAACGCATGGAAATTTATAAAGTACTAATAATATTCCGCACTATTATGCACGTTTTATTTGGCGTTCACAGGTGTGCAATTCGTTTTTCTACGAGATTTTATTCTATTTTTAAAAGTTTAAGTATTTAAAATGGATTAAAATTTATGTCTATATCCCGAGTTCCCATCCCCTGTTTTTTAATAAAAGAATATTCGAGAAAGTTTAGGGGAGATCGCTACCGGTGTATTTAGAAATGTAATAACTTTTTAATTAAAAAAAGAAATAGTTAAAGGGGGTCGGCGTGGTCGAGTCGGTAAAGCTCATGGTTGCTAAACCGAAAAGTCTCGACTTCGAACCCTCGGGCAGATGAGGCTCGTTAGCTGGGGACAGCCACTCTTCTAGGAGAAACAACTCCAAAATTAAAACAACTGCTGCCTTTTAGTTTGTTCTTGGTTGGACAAAGGCTATGGAAGCAAATCCAAAAAGAAAAGCAGGCTGAAATCGGAGTCAATGGCCTCAATGGCGCATAACCAGTTGACACGTAACGCTTAATTGTGTTGGAGGCGTGGTCGAGTCGGCAAAAAGCGTATGGTTGATAAATTCGAACAAAGTCTCGAGTTCAAACCCACTGGCAGATAAATCTCGATCCCCTTCAACACTAATAATTAAGAACGAAGAAGAAGAAGAAAGAAGAAAGAAGAAAGACATATCAGTAACATAGCATTAAAAATTTAGAATAAAGAAATAATATTACGTAGATAGAGGGAGAATATAAACGATATAAAATACACGCAGACTCATGGGGATCTCATACAGAGATGGTCAGTTAAAGGATAATTAAAGTAATTGGTTCCTACGATAGTGTACTGAGCATTGCTTTAGTTTCATCGCAGTGTCTTATTATAAGCACTGGAGTAGGTGCTATCTTTGTAAGAACGTAATTTTTTTTTATCGTCAACAAACGAACACAAAGAAAATATTAAATACACTCACATTGCTAAAGTGTATTAATTATTAAACGGACCAATGTCAAATAATTTTTTCTTTTATATGCCTTGAAAATGGATTCCTTTTAATAACAGTAGGGGTCGTACACTACTAATGAAATAAAATGTTTAATAAAATGTTAATTATGTCAGGAGAGGTAGTTAAAGAAGAAATTCAACAAAGCTAAATATTGCCAATTAAGTAATTGTTTTTTTTTATTTATTGCTATTGCACTGGTTGTTATTTGTTAGGGCTCATAATTATAATAGATTAATGTTAGGATTATTTATAGTATTTTCTGATTAGTCATTACAGAGATTTATAGTTTTTTAAAATTTCTAGGATCTCTTAAAATCACTCTTTTTTGTATTATTTTTTAGCGCAATTTCCATTCTGGAGAATTGCGTTTATTAACCCGTCATTTCTGGATGTATGAATGGATGGATGTGTGTCCACAGCTTTAAGTCGTATCTCCTCCTCAACGAAGCAATATCGAGGACTAGTTCCAAAAGCAATTATGTTAAGCAAGTTACGACGATGAACATAGGCCAAAAAAATTCCGGGTTTCTTTCATGGATTTCCCGGAAAAGCAAAAAAAACCTCGAACAAATGCAGTTTTTGCTCCACATCTCGGCAACCAGACCACTTAGCGACTTGAAACATTTACCAATCGATTCCTGCAATAATTTAAACCAATATTGCCGAAGAAAATTTTTAAAAATATCCTTTCATTCGGTCACAAAAATTTTTTTTAATATATTTTAAACTGAGCGTCTTGTAGGCCTAGTTTTAATGTAAACTGAGCGTCTTGTAGGTTTTTAGCGCAAAGCGCTGAGGTTCGAAAGGATTTTTTTAAATTACTTATTTACCTATTAATTCAAACGTTATTTTTGTACCCTATTAATTTATTTATAATTTATATGAGAGTGATAGGGAGTTACAATTACAAGGTTTTGTTTCGCTAGGCCTAATCATTTTTTCACATTTTTTAAAAACAATAGAGTTATATGACTAAAAACCATTGCGCGCCTACTGAACGTGATGGCGCAGCCATGGAACGTGATGACGCATCTATTGAACGTGATGACGCGTACATAAGGAAATTGCGCTAAAATTGTCACTAGACTTTTTAATTAATTTGTTTGGTGTTATCAAGTTAAAGGGATGGTTAAATTAGAAAATATTGGAAAGCTCTCTCTGAGTCTCCGGGAAAGCGTAGCTTGATAATGTGTTTGTGTTTGCGTTTGTGTTTTTCTTTTAGTTTGAGTTTGTTTGCGTTTGTGTTTCTATTGTGTTTGGTTATGTTCTGTTCCCGAGTTGGTACATTTAAAAAAGATTCATCTTGGCGAAGCACGGGTATGCAGCTAGTAAATATATATATATATATATATATATATATATATATGTATATATATATATATATATATATATATATATATATATATATATATATATATATATATATATATATATATATATATATATATATATATATATTAAAATGAGTTTAAGAAAGTAACATTGATTCTGAAGCATTGATAATTTTGATTCTCATTTTGATGTCATTTGATTGCAATTTCAAGTATTTGCAACAATGCAGATTTAGCTGTGTTTAAGTTATGTTTATAAAATAAGGACTAACTTAAATTAAATTAGTGACATTTAAAGGCAACTTTTCAAATAGACAAAATGAATGAAAATGTTTGGACATACCGATGATAGTGTCCGAGAAAATTCGATTTGACTGGATCAATTCATACTCATAAGCCGGAGAAATGAGAAAAGCATCGTCTTTGTCTAATTCTTCCAAAGACTCACTTGAAATTTTCCTTTTTGAATAAAACGAAGTGAATTCGTTACTTTTGTTAATTGGGTGCAGTTATGGTCAATGGGTTTTCGAATAGGATCATTTACAAATAAAAAAGATTACAAAGTGACTACTTAGCAAGCATACCGTTAGTCTCAAAGTTTCAAGTCTTGTGGTACGATATTTTTATGCAGATAGCAATTTGAGAGCGTGGTGGGTAATTTATGGGAGTATTTCTTGGACTGCTTAATATGTGCGTGTGTGGGGAGTAAAGTATGTGTGTCTGAGATACGGTAAATATGTGCGTAACGAGTGGGGAATCGTACGCGTGATGGGTGTAGAAAATGTATCTGTCTGGGGTGGGGAAAATGTATCTGTCTGGGGTGGGGAAAATATGAGTGTGTGGATTTAGGTAATTTTGCTTTTGATGGGTGGGAACTTTTTCAAGTGCAGGATGTGGTAAATGTCCATGAGAGGAGTGTGTAAATATGCGTTAATTGGGTTGGGAAAATATTGTATTTGGTAACACTGGAAAACTAGATTTCTCCGGTGTTTTCCGTCATCAATCTTCCTATCGTCTTTAAGAATTTCACAGAAAATCCTGAACCTCGTTTTTGTTAGTTTTCACTGTGCTTCTGAATTTGTAAGTTTTTAACACTCAACAGACTACTATAATTATAAAAATTAATACTACAATACCCACCATATTTTCTTTATGTTTTATTCGTGTAATAATAACAATTTTGTCAAAGAACGAATAATAATAGACAAAAAGTTTATGAACAAAATAAGTGTGAATTTAAAAAAAAACATACTAAATAGAAGGCAATATTTTGGACGTTGTAGAATTCTTATACGTAGCCCTAATACATAGTTGTAGTATGAATTTTTTTTTATATTTACTGATATACCAGCAGTATAAATTTAATTGCATAGAGCGCATACCTAAACCTTTTCGTTGCTTAATACTTACTTTCATGTGGCAAATGTAACAAAATTGTTTAAAAGGCTTTAAAGGCAGAGGCGTAGCTAGGGCAGGGCGCACGGGACGGATGTCCCGTGCGCCGACCTTTAGGGGGCGCCAAAGGGGTAGCGAAATTAATTTAAAAGCTCATTTTAAGCTAAAGTATATAATTACTAGCCGTCCCAGCCAGGCCCTGCACTGGCATCTCTGAAAAACGTATATGTAAAGGACCATAACTTGTGTGATTAGTAATCAACATTTACCCGGCATTACCCAATCTAACCACAACCAACCAAAACACACAAAAAACGAAACATAACACTAACACAAAACAAACACAAGCGAAAACACAAAAACAAACGCAAAGACAAACCCTACCAAAAACACTAACAAAACACAAACACTAACGCAAACAAAAAAGCAAAAGAAAACAAATCCAAACGCAAACACAAACCCAACCACAACCAAACAAAACCAAAACACACCAAAAAAAAAAAAACAACGCAAACATAACACAAATACAAACGCAAACGAAAACACAAAAACAAACGCAAACACAAAAACAACCACAAAGAAAACACAAACGCAAAGAAAAAAGCAAACGAAAACACAAACGCAAAGAAAAAAAAGCAAACGAAAACAAACCCAATCCCAAATCCAAACGCAAACACAACCCACAAACGCAAACCCAAACTCAAACACAAAGAAAAACTCAAAGTGTCCACAGTCTAGCCCGGGGCGCTAAATCGCCCCATGACTACGTGCGGCGTAACCGCCTGATTCAACTTAGTAAACGACTATAGTACCCAGCTTATTCATAGTCTTTTGAACTCACGCAAACGTAGGTACTATAGCGAACACGGGAAAGCCCGGGGCACCATATAGCACCCTGTCGGGGTGCCGGAGGACGCCCGGATTTGATTAACTTAAAGACTATAGTAACCTTTCTTATCCATAGTCTATCGCACTGTTTAAATCGAAATTATGCAGCATAGCACTCACATGATAGCCCAGGGCGCCAAATCGAACCGCGCAGGGGCGCCGGCGGATGCGCCTGTTTCAATTTAGTGAACAAAATTATAATACTCCAAGCTTATCCATAAATGGAAATAAATAAACATATAGGATTTGTAGGACCTGGCTTATTAAATGTTATTGATTTAAAAAATAATTAGTAAACAGTATGTTCAGTGTATAGAATAAATAAAAGGCAGTATTAAAAATACCAACGACATTGCACTTAATCAATCCCCGCTTATTATGTATTTTTTTTTTCTTAACACCAAAACAAAGTAATAAGAAGTAAATTCTCTCTTCCCCCGATTTAATGGTTTTTAAAGGGAAGTAACTGTGTTTTCCAAATCAAGGGACGTTATGAGAACTAAAGGACAAAATGCAAATACATTTCAGACACAATTTTAGAAATTTTTTAAACGTCGATACACATTTTAATTTTTTTTTTTGTAATGTTCATAATTGAAAATTATTATTCTCAGTATATAAAATGAAAATTGTTTTGAAAGACTTTCAATTGTAATTTTTTAAACTCATAAATTTAGACCATGAGGATTTTAATAATCTAAAACTTGAATCCATCGACGTATCGTTTTTTTTGGGGTTTTTTTTTTTCTTATATTCCTTTGTTATCCTCGATTACAAACATTTTTCCAGAACTTATTTAAAGTTCTAAATCTTGTCTCTTTCCCCTCATCTTTCACACTGCAACCTTTTGAAAACTCAATGCGACCACTACAACACCCTTTCAACTAGTCAACTTAAGTTGTTTCCCTACATAGAAAATGCTTCACTGTCCCATTGACCCTCTCTGAAAAATTTCCTTTCCTCTCCCCACCCAGACTTCTGACACTTTCATTTGACCTTCACCCCTTTTACTGTCATCCTTTGCAATTTTTTTTTATAATCAAATACATGACATCATGTAAATATTCATTATGTACATTTGCAAAACCTTTCGTTTTCATTTGGTGTTCAAAATTATGTTAAAAAATTTGATGTTGATGTACTTGTTTTAATTGCAAATAAAAGTATTAAAAAAAAAATTAAAAAAAAAAAAAAAAAAAAAAAAAAATTTACAAACAAACATACAGAATTGAACTTTATATATTAGATACACTGTCAAAGTTACGAAAATAAACGAATACAAGACTTAACACCCTGATTTAGCTGTTTTTTATAACAATTGTGTGGCACAGAAATAGAAAATGTTAAGGCTTATTAACTGGTAAGAAGTGCCACAAACCTTTCCAACTGGGGTGGGGCACTTTTTCATAGACATGAATAACTATATATATAGAAATAGGAGGGAGGGGGCGCAATATGATCAGAGGCGTAGCTAGGGGAGGGCGGGGAGGTCGGCCGCCCCGGGCGCCGACCCTAGGGGGGCGCCAAAAGGTGTAGAAAAAAAAATTAAAAGCTAATTTTAAGCTGCAGTTTTGAATTATAAACAAAGTAAAGAAATTTAACGGCTGAGAGACTTTGCATACTGATTTAACTGTTTTCTACCTTGATTGTGTAACTGTAAAACGTATATCTTTAAGAAACAGTGACCGGAAAAACCGCTTTCCAGCTTTCCTAGATGGGGAGGGGGTGGGGCGCTTTTTCGAAGACTAAAATAGGAAAAATTTACAACGGATTAAGGAATAAATAACCGATATCACTCAGAAAAGAAACCCATTGAACTAAAGCGTATTTTACGATTATGTAACATAAAAAAGAGTTAGTGACGTTTAAAATCCGCTCTACCATTTTTGTCCAAGATCGTGGGGCGCTTTTTCACTAACAAAAATCGCAGGATTTGTACTAGATCGGTTGCTAACACTTAATGTACGATTTCACTACCCAGTTTTGCTAAGTAATAACGCGACTAGTTCTTTGAACATTTATTACGATTCTCTCAACTTGATCGAGATAGATCAGATACTTTTACTTGATTGCATAACATCTTGCCTGGATCACTGCATTATTAAAGAAAAATAAATATAACGGATTCTTGTATCGCTATCCGATCAGTAAAAAGCAGACTGTCGGAGCGGGTGGATGGGAAGCGACACTCTTTGCCAAAATTTTAAGAGAGAAGAAAATTAGTAAATTGTACTGATTATTACTTTGTTCAACCTAACTGACAATTCAAAATTGCAATATTGGCCTACTATTATCGATATTGTTCTAAAGACACGACCAAAAGTAGACCAAATAAGGCTTGCACCTTCTACAAAATACACTCTAAAGCAGTGGTTCTTAACTTTTTGGAGTACCAAACCCCACCAGTTTCTTATGCGCAATCACCGAACCCTCCTTAATAGTTGTATCGTCCACACTGACAAAATCCGATCATGAATCCTATGAGTCGGCTCATATGGGGGGGGGGGGGGGGGGCACCAAACTGAAAGTTCGCCCCGGGCGCCGGAAAGGGTCGCTACGCCTCTGCATATGATTAAGAATGGTTATTGTACCTAAGGGGATATGCGCAAAATAAACAAAAAAAAAATCACCGAAATTCTGATTTTTCGTAATAATGGTTTTCTTTCACTTTCGGATTCTTTATCGATTTCATTAATTAAGAAAATAAAAACTTAAATGGGGGAAAAATTCTTAAGTTAAAAAAAAATAAATATTTTATCACCCTACATATAAAAAAATTATTCCATTTTCTTAATATTGCCCGTTCACTACGAAATGTTTGACAATGCCATCATATTGTATTTAACATAATTGAAAAGCGGGATTTCTTCGGTATTCGGTAATTGTAATTTCTGTCACCCTAAGCTTTCAATTGACTTTACAAAGCACACAAAAATGGTATTTTCCTTACCAAATGTTTGCTATTTCTTTCCGGATTTTCTTAGTTCCCAGTTTTTCGACACTAAAAGGCCTACTAGTTTTATTTTATTTAGGATACAATTTCCACCAAAGTTCTCAGTACTTATTGTTAATGTAACAATGAAAAAATTGTCACGAAGAAATTTTTAAGGTTCTCATAGCAAAAAGTTCAAGATAAAAAATATGCGTATTTTTCAAATTTTCACATACAAAGTGTAGGCTTACATCATTTTTTAAAAATAATTCAGACCAGTAGCCTATCAAAAAGATGTCGTAATTAAAACTCCTGTTTGTTATTTAGTATTTACTTTTATGTGCCTGGGATAGTAAATTGTAAAAAAAATAAATAGAAAAAAAATGAACACATCGCTGAATCTCAATTTATTTGAATTTTTTATTTTTTATAAAATGCATAAGACATGTAATTGACATCAACTGTTTGCATTGCCTGCTTGTTATTACAACTTTTGTCGTTGGTTTGTGGCGACTGATATAGATTTAAAATAGTAATTTAGTAGGCCTAAAAATGGTTTATTTATATTTAATCCAAACATTTTAATTTATGTTTATTGAAAGCATATACGATACTTTGTTGGTGATTAGATGTTATATGGACGTGTCATAGGCTTAAATTTAAGCTGTATTTTTCCATTTTACAAATACATTGAATTGCGCACCTTCTAAATCAATATAAATAATTAGAATTACAAGGTGTGGTCGATAAAATAACTGAAACATTATACTACAATTGTAATTTCAGTTATTATCTATAATGTTATTTGGATACATGCAATGTATTCAAATTATAACCCTAAATAATACCATTCTTTTTCGCCTCTAAATGAATAGTATAAGATCTATTAAATAATTATTACTTTGGAAAGTTACTCCCCTACACACAGCAAGAATGATTGTGATTTCTAACCAACTTCCGGAGTTTTTCGAGGGTTAAACCACATTTTTGTGTGACCCAGCACATATTTCTACTATTGGGAGTTATCAATGCGGTTTGACATAGTGATTTTTAAAATTCAGTTTTGTTTACAAAGACATCAATATGTTTATATTAAAAACCATAACTTTAACCCTAACTTAAAAATCCAAACCTAAAAACAAACACAAAAAAAAAAACAACATTAAACGTAAACATAAATAAACCCTTTTCCCTTCTCCAGTTTTAATTCGCTTAAAAACACAAACACAAACACACAAAACAAACCTAACCCTAACACAAACACAAACACACAAAACAAACCTAACCTAGCACAAACACAAACAACAGGAAGAAATACACAATTATGATTACTGTTTTAATTTAAATTTTCATAAAAATCACTTACCACGTACAGAGAAATAATTGGTATAATTGCTTTTGAAAAAATATTTTTTTTGGTGTGGTGTGAAACGTAATACATTTAGTTTGATTTTGCTCTTTGCACTTTATGTTAATAAAAATATTAATTTGCAAAATAAACACTAATTTTGGAAATGAAAAATATTAAGATTTCTAGACATCGATTTATATTTTAGTACAAACGTTTACACTTTAAAAATATTACACAATGGTGAAACAGTTTTACTCTTTTGTCTTAAAGTCTTTCTGTGTGCGCGAACATATTAACTCGAGTATCGCTTTATTTAGTTGGAAGAAATTTCATATGTAAGTATTATTGTTTACGCAGGTATCTGTAGACTTTTTTGCGATTTCCTAAAACGGGAAGTTGTATATTATTGTACAACCATATTAACACAATAACTAGACCTAAAACCGCAGGAATATTTTTTTCCAAATGCACATAAAGTAACATATTCTACGAACTTTTCGCATCAATTTATTTTGTTGAAAACCAGCGCTGTTGTCGCAAACTTTTATATTTCTATAACCAGATTCTACTTCGAAGTATTATCTCAACCGTTTTACCTGAATTTTCGATTTTTTTCTCATGAACACGCACTTAATTCATAATTGCGTCTTTGCAAGTTATCAATAAGTTGCAACTATGTAAGTGTAAAAAATACAGTTATCAAATATATATAAATGTCAGTACCATCTATCTATATACTACTAAAACTCAAGTTTGTTTACAAGTTTGTATATTTATTGGTTTTCTTGTTAGTTTTTTTGTTTGTCTGTTTGGTTACAGGAGAGAATCTGCACTATTTGTAGAGCTGTAAAATAATATTAAGTGTTAATCACAAATTCATTTAAAGACGTATATTAATGTATTGATATATTCGTTGATGGAAACATTACTTTAATTATAGAAGTTTAGATCAGTGACTTTATTGATTGTGACGTCACATGATTTATTTACATTTTTACAACAAGCATGGCGGCCTCCATGGAAGATCTTGTTGCCCATTCAAAAGTTTAACGCATTATAATGTAACACATACCATGGGTTACCAGTCAAGGGGGGTAATTTGTTATTTATATGGTTGCCGCCCCTGTGAGACCGCAATTGTTAATGTATTTTTTATGCTCTTCTGTAAGCGATGTTCCACGTGTTCCCATGTCATGTGACCTCTAGGACTCTGGGTAGGTGTATCTGTGTTAGCTAAATTCTCTGTCGGCTATAGATTTAACGATACGTCTGTGTGCTATTTTTATTAGGATCCAACACTATTATCAAGTATACACTGGGTAGTTCTTCTGATTTGACTAGATCTATACAATACATTTATCTAGCCTAGATTCTAGCTAGATCTAGAGATTCTAGATCTAACGATAGGCCAAACCTAATTTAATTAGTTAGATACAAAAAGCACAATAAATAGTTGAGTTTCTTTATTAAACTATTATAGTCCTTAAATAATTGATAAACATCTTTGCTTTTTAGCTTCAAGGATAATCTAATTCGCGAATACAAGGGGTGTATTATCTATTTAGATTCTAGATCTAGAGCTGCGGAAAGACTAGACTTAAGCCAGCCGTAGATTCTAGATCTAGAAAATCTAGATTTAACTCTTTCTAGATCTATAATCTATGCCAATAATTAGTTTCTATATTAAAATATTTCAGACCTTAATTATTTTATGTAAAGATTTGTTTATTTAGCTATGGAATTTGCTAATTTGGGATATAATTAAATTTGAATTGATGGGCCTATTCGCATAGCTCAAGTTTCTGACGCGGACTCTCTAAGTAAAGGATTCCACTAATTTTGCACTTAATTTGATGTGCTCAGATAGCTAAGTTGATAGTGCAATAGTTACTATGCAATTGAACGGGTTCGTGACACATCATGTCAATACTAAATATTTGTATCATTTTCTTAAAGTTTCAAATGAATTAAGTTGCCTATTGTGACTTGGCGAGACACGGGGCAGGTGAAGTAGAATTTTTCTCTACGAAGGGATAGTGTGGTCAGACCCATGCTCAGCCGAAATCGGTGTTTTTAAAAGAATAACATGTTGCCTGATGTGGGGTCTTACTTTTTGTGAAGATATGTGACATTGGGAACGGAAGGGGAAAGATAAAAACAGTCGAATAAACATAACGTGATTTATGGATGACCCTCGAAACACGGTTATTGAAGAATAACGGGCTGTCTAGTATTACTTATAACTGAAGATAATAAGAAACTTACAAGAATAACGGGCAGTCTAGTATTACTTATAACTGAAGGTAATAAGAAACTTACAAGAATAACGGACAGTCTAGTATTACTTATAACTGAAGGTAGTCTAGCATTACTTATAACTGAAGGAAGTCTAGTATTACTTATAACTGAAGGTAATAAGAAACTTACAAGAATAACGGGCAGTCTAGTATTACTTATAACTGAAGGTAATAAGAAACTTACAAGAATAACGGGTAGTCTAGTATTACTTATAACTGAAGGTAATAAGAAACTTACAAAAATAACGGACAGTCTAGTATTACTTATAACTGAAGGTAATAAGAAACTTACAAGAATAACGGGTAGTCTAGTATTACTTATAACTGAAGGTAATAAGAAACTTACAAGAATAACGGGCAGTCTAGTATTACTTATAACTGAAGGTAATCTAGTGTTACTTATAACTGAAAGTAATAAGGAACTTACAAGAATAACGGGCAGTCTAGTATTACTTATAACTGAAGGTAATCTAGTATTACTTATAACTGAAGGTAATAAGAAACTTACAAGAATAACGGGCAGTCTAGTATTACTTATAACTGAAGGTAATCTAGTGTTACTTATAACTGAAAGTAATAAGAAACTTACAAGAATAAAGGGTATTCTAGTATTACTTATAACTGAAGGTAGTCTAGCATTACTTATAACTGAAGGTGGTCTAGCATTACTTATAACTGCAGGTAGTCTAGTATTACTTATAACTGAAGGTAGTCTAGTATTACTTATAACTGAAGGTAATAAGAAACTTACATGAATAACGGGCAGTCTAGTATTACTTATAACTGAAGGTAGTCTAGCATTACTTATAACTGAAGGAAGTCTAGTATTACTTATAACTGAAGGTTATAAGAAACTTACAAGAATAACGGGCAGTCTAGTATTACTTATAACTGAAGGTAATAAGAAACTTACAAGAATAACGGGCAGTCTAGTATTACTTATAACTGAAGGTAGTCTAGTATTACTTATAACTGAAGGTAATCTAGCATTACTTATAACTGAAGGTAATAAGAAACTTACAAGAATAACGGGCAGTCTAGCATTACTTATAACTGAAGGTAATAAGAAACTTACAAGAATAACCGGCAGTCTAGCATTACTTATAACTGAAGGTAATAAGAAACTTACAAGAATAACGGACAGTCTAGTATTACTTATAACTGAAGGTAATAAGAAACTTACAAGAATAACCGGCAGTCTAGCATTACTTATAACTGAAGGTAATAAGAAACTTACAAGAATAACGGACAGTCTAGTATTACTTATAACTGAAGGTAATAAGAAACTTACAAGAATAACGGACAGTCTAGTATTACTTATAACTGAAGGTAATAAGAAACTTACAAGAATAACGGGCAGTCTAGTATTACTTATAACTGAAGGTAATAAGAAACTTACAAGAATAACGGACAGTCTAGTAGTACTTATAACTGAAGGTAATAAGAAACTTACAAGAATAACCGGTAGTCTAGTATTACTTATAACTGAAGGTAATAAGAAACTTACATCTCTGATTCGGCCCAGTCTGTTGGTTTCATGCCGTCGTTAATCCTGTACGATTTTTAAAAATTGCAGAACGTTATTAACATTTCTATATAAAAGCTAATAATCCTAACCAAAAGTAATTATACTGATAGAATAAATCCTAATCCTAATTCTAAAGAAGAGACCCCAACTCTAAGCCATAATATAACACAAGTAATAGTTCTTATAGAATGATCATATAAAACAACGACAATGAAATGCTACACACATATTTATTAATAAGAGATAGAGAGAGAGAGAGAGAGAGATAGAGAGAGAGAGAGAGAGAGAGAGATAGTGTGAGAGATAGTGTGAGAGATAGTGTGAGAGATAGTGTGAGAGATAGAGAGAGAGAGAGAGAGAGAGAGAGAGAGAGGGAGGGAGACAAAAGAAAGAGCGAAACACATACAGAAAACAATATCAAAATAAAACTGTAATATATTGAGCCTTGTGAATTCAAGGGAACTCACTCTTCTTGTATTAGTCTTATATTTATAATGTTTTTGGGTGATGTCCCTTGAATGTCATGTTCCGGTTGTTGATGCAGAATAAAGACAAGGTGCGCATAAACATGGCTTCATCGTCAGTTGTGTCATAATAAAACCACAATCCATTACAAAAACCATAACAATGCATATTTTTATAAACAATTTTTATAAACATGAGATCATATTCAATTTATGAAGCGGGTTTACTATTTTAAACGTACTATTTGAATATGCTTGTTTTATAAAATGGAAGTCACTCCTACCAGTGGGTTGACTATCAACATTTTACCCAACGCATACTCAAGAGGATTGGTTTGTTAGAATAATGATCTGGATGTCAAGACGTTTGTCTCATTATGTAGAGTGAGAGCAACCTCTTTTTAATATAAACTTTACTTGTTTTATTCATATGAAAATAATATAACCATTTATAAAAACGTGTGCCGTAAACATATGAAATAATGCCCTCTTATGATGACGTAATAAAACAAACATGAGGACTTAAGTCTGCAAACGAAATGTTTTGGCGGTCGAACGAGGTACCAATAGAACGGTAATCCCCAGCGAGTTTGCACATCCCCACCCCCCCCAGAACATACCAATCATATACCATCAAGCAGGACCACCACAGAACAGGGAAATATGTAGACAGGGAGATATGTAGACAGAGAGATATGTAGACAGGGAGATATGTAGACAGGGAGATCTGTAGACAGGAAGATATGTAGACAGGGAGATCTGTAGACAGGGAGATATGTAGACAGGGAGATATGTAGACAGGGAGATATGTAGACAGGGAGATATGTAGACAGAGAGATATGTAGACAGGGAGATATGTAGACAGGGAGATCTGTAGACAGGAAGATATGTAGACAGGGAGATATGTAGACAGGGAGATCTGTAGACAGGGAGATATGTAGACAGGGAGATCTGTAGACAGGGAGATATGTAGACAGGGAGATATGTAGACAGAGAGATATGTAGACAGGGAGATATGTAGACAGGGAGATATGTAGACAGGGAGATATGTAGACAGGGAGATATGTAGACAGGGAGATATGTAGACAATGCATTAAAACTATTTTTGTTTAAAGATAGAAACATCTTAACCTTTGGAAAATATCCACAAAAGAGAATGCAGAAACTTTCATTTTTATAATCTTTAACTTGTCCATGTTCTGCTTTAGTGAAGAGAAAAGTGCAGAAAATCTTCTACATTCGTAATCAGGCAGGAAAAAGACCATTTCGTTTAATGTGTTAACCTGAAATTTTAAAAGTGATCAAACATTTTCAAAATAATTTTTTTAAGTGTATAGTTTACACCCGTTTTTTGGGCTTTTTAAAATGATTTTCTAAGTGTATAGTTTACACTCGTTTTTGGGCTTTTTAAAATAATTTTCTAAGTGTATAGTTTACACTCGTTTTTGGGCTTTTTAAAATAATTTTCTAAGTGTATAGTTTACACTCGTTTTTGGGCTTTTTAAAATAATTTTCTAAGTGTATAGTTTAGACTACCTTATGGGTTTTTTTAAATAATTTTCTAAGTGTATAGTTTACACTCGTTTTTGGGCTTTTTAAAATAATTTTCTAAGTGTATAGTTTACACTCGTTTTTGGGCTTTTTAAAATAATTTTCTAAGTGTATAGTTTACACTCGTTTTTGGGCTTTTTAAAATAATTTTCTAAGTGTATAGTTTAGACTACCTTATGGGTTTTTTTTAAATAATTTTCTAAGTGTATAGTTTACACTCGTTTTTGGGCTTTTTAAAATAATTTTCTAAGTGTATAGTTTACACTAGCTTATGGGCTTTTACAAGCGTTTACTTTGTTCACAACGTATATTTGTGAATTTGGGGCAAATCTTGCAATTCAAATTTGACCCACGTCTAATGCAGCGATTTTGTTCTTATTATTCATAGACTTTCTACTTTGAGGGTAAGGCATGAATACCTATTTTTTCAATACATTAAATAGACATTAACAATTAATTAAACGGTTTTAAAACTAAGGGGTCATAACAAGATCAAAAGCTAGCAATCACTCGATAGATTACTAAATTCCAAAACATAAGGGGAAATAAAAAGTTATACGCGATCTGTCTGCTGAGCAGTGCTTCACGCCGAATGTTTAGAATTGTATCTCCGGTTCAAGTGAAGGCTATTAGGGACAAACAATAGAGTTTTTAAACTATTTAAAACTAAGGAGAGGTAACAATATCTGGTTGCTGCAGTCTGTAAACTGTCGTCAATGACGGCTGCTTTAACGGGGGTGGGGGTGGGAGAAGGGGGGGAAAGGATAATCGTCCTTCACGAGCTACTGATAGTGTTTTAAAGCAAAAGTTGTTAGTTGCAGCATTGGAAGTGTCGAATTATGAATTACTAAAAAGTAGAAAATAAAACAAATTTAAAAAACCTTTCTATTAGCACGCTTTTATTTGCACTGAAAATAAGAAAATAAAACTAATTTGCTTTCTTTCTTGAAAGCTGTGGTTATTAACATTTGTAAAAGATCTATTCATCTTTAGTATTTTATTTGGTGTTTTCAAAATTCTAGTCTTGTGAATGTTTTAATTATTGGTCGTTTTCAGTAGTCCAGCCTTTTGAATGTTTTCAAGGACCTCTATAGATCTATACCGTTCAGGACATCTTGTAACCACTATGGATTGATAAGGTTCATGATAGCTAACGGTCAATGATTTATATGTTTGAGCAAGCCAACAAAATTGCTTTCGAAGTGAGCCAATTTTAGCTTCTCTAATGTTTGAGCATTCCTTCCTGTTCCACTATGTAAAAACTACTCTTTGTTTCTCTGAATGCCTGACATTATCATCTACATCAATACATTGTTCAGGAAATGGAATCTATTTCGTTTAAACATCATCGGCTAGTTAAGTTTAAAAAACTGAACATCATGACGGACTGAAAGACTGATAAACAAATAGCTTGCGAGTAAGACAGCATGAAAACCTGACATAATGAAACCTGACATAAAGAAAAACTGACAGCATGACGGACTGGAAAACTGACAGCATGACAGACTGAAAAACTGACAGCATGACAGACTGGAAAACTGACAGCATGACACAGTGGAAAACTAACAGCATGACAGACTGAAAAACTGACAGCATGACAGACTGAAAAACTGACAGCATGACAGACTGAAAAACTGACAGCATGACAGACTGAAAAACTGACAAGAATGAAAAACTAACAGCATGACAGACTGAAAAACTGACAGCATGACAGACTGAAAAACTGACAAGAATGAAAAACTAACAGCATGACAGACTGAAAAACTGACAGCATGACAGACTGGAAAACTGACAGCATGACACAGTGGAAAACTAACAGCATGACAGACTGAAAAACTGACAGCATGACAGACTGAAAAACTGACAGCATGACAGACTGAAAAACTGACAGCATGACAGACTGAAAAACTGACAGCATGACAGACTGAAAAACTGACAGCATGACAGACTGGAAAACTGACAGCATGAGAGACTGGAAAACTGACAAGAATGAAAAACTGACAGCATGACAGACTGAAAAACTGACAGCATGACAAACTGGAAAACTGACAGCATGACAGACTCAAAAACTGACAAGACTAAAAAACTGACAGCATGACAGACTGAAAAACTGACAAGACTGAAAAACTGACAGCATGACAGACTGGAAAACTGACAGCATGACAGACTGAAAAACTGACAGCATGACAGACTGAAAAACTGACAGCATGACAGACTGAAAAACTGACAGCATGACAGACTGAAAAACTGACAGCATGACAGACTGAAAAACTGAAAGCATGACAGACTGAAAAACTGACAGCATGACAGACTGAAAAACTGACAGCATGACAAACTGGAAAACTGACAGCATGACAGACTCAAAAACTGACAAGACTAAAAAACTGACAGCATGACAGACTGAAAAACTGACAAGACTGAAAAACTGACAGCTTGACAGACTGAAAAACTGACACCATGACAGACTGGAAAACTGACAGCATGACAGACTAGAAAACTGACAAGAATGAAAAACTGACAGCATGACAGACTGAAAAACTGACAGCATGACAGACTGAAAAACTGACAGCATGACAGACTGGAAAGCTGACAGCATGACAGACTGAAAAACTGACAAGACTGAAAAACTGACAGCATGACAGACTGAAAAACTGACAGCATGACAGACTGGAAAACTGACAGCATGACAGACTGGAAAGCTGACAGCATGACAGACTGAAAAACTGACAAGACTGAAAAACTGACAGCATGACAGACTGAAAAACTGACAGCATGACAGACTGGAAAACTGACAGCATGACAGACTGAAAAACTGACGAATGAAAAACTGACAGCATGACAGACCGGAAAACTGACAGCATGACAGACTGAAAAACTGACAGCTTGACAGACTGGAAAACTGACAGCATGAGAGACTGGAAAACTGACAAGAATGAAAAACTGACAGCATGACAGACTGAAAAACTGACAGCAGGACAGACTGGAAAACTGACAGCATGACAGACTGAAAAACTGACAGCATGGCCGACTGGAAAACTGACAGCATGACAGACTGGAAAACTGACAGCATGACAGACTGGAAAACTGACAGCATGACAGACTGGAAAACTGACAAGACTGGAAAACTGACAGCATGACAAACTGAAAAACTGACAAGAATGAAAAACTGACAGCATGACAGACTGGAAAACTGACAGCATGACAGACTGGAAAACTGACAGCTTGACAGACTGAAAAACTGACAGCATGACCGACTGGAAAACTGACAGCATGACAGACTGGAAAACTGACAGCATGACAGACTGGAAAACTGACAAGAATGAAAAACTGACAGCATGACAGACTGGAAAACTGACAGCATGACAGACTGAAAAATTGACAGCATGACAGACTCAAAAACTGACAGCATGACAGACTGGAAAACTGACAAGAATGAAAAACTGACAGCATGACAGACTGGAAAACTGACAGCATGACAGAATGAAAAACTGACAGCATGACAGACTGGAAAACTGACAGCATGACAGACTGGAAAACTGACAAGAATGAAAAACTGACAGCATGACAGACTGGAAAACTGACAGCATGACAGACTGGAAAACTGACAAGAATGAAAAACTGACAGCATGACAGACTGGAAAACTGACAGCATGACAGAATGAAAAACTGACAGCATGACAGACTGAAAAACTGAGATGTAAGCAGATACGGATTACGTAGTTTGATTTGCCCCGCTGCCATGCTGTATTTGGGGTGGGGGGGGGTGTGGTCGCTATGTAAATATTAAATTCCGATTTTCTTTGACTTTTCCATAAGTGTAATGATTAGACAATCTCCATACACCCAAAATGTAAGCAGTGTAACAACAATTGATAAAAAAAATCATAAAAAACGTTTTAATAACAAACTTTTATGTAATAATTGACTAAATAGTAGAAAATAAATTATAGACTACTAATAATACTATTTAAATAACTACAAAGAAAAGCGTGGGTCACTTTAGTATCTATTGGATACCTTTACTAATGTTAAGGAAGACACCCACGCTTTTCTTTATGGTTATTTAAATAGTAGTCTATAATTTATTTTCTACTTTTTAGTCCATTATTACATAAAAGCTTGTTATTAAAACGTTTTTTATGAATTTTTTTTTCAGTACTTTACATGTTTTATTTACAATAGAGTTACATGACTAAAACCATTGCGCGCCTACTGAACGTAATGGCGCAGCCATTGAACGTGATGGCGCAGCTATTGAACGTGATGACGCGTGTGGTGTGGTTGGATAGACATGCCTACTAATTCGGTCCAAATTTTAATTAATTCATAAAAAAATTAATTAGGCATCCAATTAAGTCAAATTTAATTTCAGATTGCATTGTCTTCATGTTTTGACAAACGTGCCAAATGTGAATCGTATCGGTCAAGTAGAAGTGTCCGAATTTTCACTCCAGCGTTTCGATCTAGACAGACAGACTGACGACTGACGACAGAGGAAGTGAGTTAAATAAAAGCTTGTAAAAAATGTAAGCAGTGTAACAACAATTGATAAAATGTAAGCAGTGTAAAAACATTTGATAAAATGCGAAATAAATTATAACATTAAGTCCGTATGGTAATTATTTTCACGTTGTGTTATACATTTTAAGCAATGTTTTACGAGTTTTAATAAATTATTTTACAAATGAAAACATTATTGACACCTTGATTTATGATATTAAACATGCTGTTTTATAGGATTGAGAGCAGAGTATTCAGACAAATGTTGGCCAATGTCAACGTTTCTCCATGGTTTACTTATCAAAGTGACTGTGTTTTTCTGTCTATTCACATTACATTGTTTCTCACATGTTTCTATGTCTATTCACATTACGTAGTTCCTCTCATGTTTCTCTGTCTATTCACATTACATTGTTCCTCTCTTTTTGTGTTTGTATAAAACTTTTTTGTCATTAAATAAAATCACTCTTATAATAAACAAAATAAAGAAATAAATAAATAATTTACTTTTAATTTTGCTGTTTCCAACGTGTTCATAACATGCCTATAAAGAACGTAATCGTCACACAGGTCGTGTTTCAGCAACCTCAACATGTATCCCGCACCTAAAAACATAAATTACCAGTGAAAGCAGACTCAATATATGTAAGAAGTCCTCATCAGAACGCATAACGACATTTTAATTAAAAAAAAAATTATAAAAAACGTTTTAATAACAAGCTTTTATGTAATGATGCACTAAAAAGTAGAAAATAAATCATAGACTACTATTTAAATAACTATAAAGAAAAGCGTGGGTCACTTTAGTATCTATTGGATACCTTTACTAATGTTAAGGAAGACACCCACGCTTTTCTTTATAGTTATTTAAACAGTAGTCTATAATTTATTTTCTACTTTTTAGTGCATCATTACATAAAAGCTTGTTATTAAAACGTTTTTTATGAATTTTTTTTTCAGTACTTTACATGTTTTATCTACAATAGAGTTACATGACTAAAAACCATTGCGCGCCTACTGAATATCACGTTCAGTAGGCGCGCAATGGTTTTTGAACGCAGCCATTACGTGGTCGTGATGGCGCAGCTATTGATGACGCGTGTGGTGTGGTTGGCTAGACATGCCTACTAATTCGGTCCAAATTTAAATTAATTCATAAAAAATCAATTAGGCATCCAATTAAGTCAAATTTAGTTTCAGATTGCATTGTCTTCATGTCTTGACCCACGTGCCAAATGTGAATCGTATCGGTCAAGTAGAACTGTCCGAATTTTCACTCCTTCGTTTCCGTCTAGACTGACGACTGACGACTTACGACAGAGGAAGTGAGTTAAATAAAAGCTTGTAAAAAGCGGGCTAAATGTTTTGGGCCCTGTGACATTCTACCTATAAAGATAGTATAATGAAAAACTGGAGTTGAATTTCATGGTTTAGGGTTAGGATTAGCGATGATTACTGGAGTCGCTAGGTCGGTTGTCACACGGTGCGGCACTTCATAGTGTCACCCCCACCCAAGATATATATATAGGCCTATATATATATATATATATATATATATATATATATATATATATATATATATATATATATATATATATATATATATATATATATATATATGGTGACAGGACAAATGATCTCAGGACAAATGATCTCAGGACAAAAGATACCAGGACAAAATATATCAGGACAAATGATACCACGGACAATTGATCTCAGACAAAATATCTCAGACAAAATATCTCACACCTAAATTTTAATAGTGTATTGGGTGATTTTAGTTGATCTGAACAATTTTTATTAACTGTCGTATGGTTTTGTTTAATATGTTTAATATTGTTTGCCGTATAAATTTATCATATTGCACTTTTAAAATTGTATATTGCATTTTAAAATTAGGATTATTACTATAGAAGATTAAAGAAATTGTTCGATAGACCGCGTAGGCGGGCTTGCCAAACATGAGACAATCCAACTATGTCAGGTGGACAAACTAGATCAAAGAGGATGAAATAACAATAGAGAAACACCGTCGTATCAAGGTGGCAGCCCGCTTTGATGGTAGAGATATGCCTTAAGGGAAAGACATCCGCCCTCCATGAACAATACAACTAATAGCTAAATTCAATAGTTATGCGTCGGTCACACTTTAGTGATCAGGTGACTAATGCTTATTTAAGACAAACAGCGGTCATCGCGGAGTTAGAACTTGTCGAGCAAGAGTTCACACAATACATGATCACATAGTATTGGAGAGGTGTGATTATAACGATGTACCTACCAACAAAAAAAAAAAACGTAAACGTTATGTTTGTGTTGATCATGAAATAAAAACAATAATTTTACGTTACGAACCTAGAGACCCATTAACATTTTTGTTTTAAACATTATTGTTGTATAGCTACCGTTTCTTTGTTTTATACATTATCATTTATCATACTTTTCAGGCTAAAGGAGAAAGTTTGTTTTAATTTTTATTTTTTCAAATCAAAGGCCATTACAAAGATTAAGTTAAATAAATCTTTTGATGGTTTGTTAAGTTTAACAAATTCATTTTATTCACAATTATGATGCGTAAAGAAAGTAAACAAAACCATATTGACAGTCAATTTAAAAAAAAGTTCAAATGAACTAAAATCATTGTACATACTATCAACATTTTGCTGTGAGATATTTTGTCTGAGATATTTTGTCTGAGATCATTTGTCCTGATATATTTTGTCCTGGTATCTTTTGTCCTGAGATCATTTGTCATGGAACCATATATATATATATATATATATATATATATATATATATATATATATATATATATATATATATATATATATATATATATAGGCCTATATAAATATATATATTTTTTAAAGCTTATATATATATATGTAAGCTTTAATCACTTCAGACTTAATGTTTTCTCTATACTTAGCACGCTTACGGCATGGTGTCACCCCCACCCTCTTGTAATAATTGTTGGTTTGTATGTATGTATGTATATATATATATATATATATATATATATATATATATATATATATATATATATATTACGGTCAAAGCCCCAAGTGCGGCAAAAGCAAGCATTGGCCGGCCAATATGCGCACTGGCCGGGATGTCCGATCTAGACTAAGTTGTTATCGCGTTTTCATTATTCTGGGTGCGGTTTCATTGTGAGTAACGTATAATTTGTATAGCGTTCTATATGCAATGCGACATAGACCAAAAATTCCTGAAGGCCTTTAGAACTGACTGGTCCGAATTCCCTATATAAACTTTGCTAATTTGGTGAAAAACGATGAGTATTTGCAAAACCACTTTTAGGGTACTTTGGCTCGGTACATCTTGCTAATTTTTTTCATACACCTGGGTAAATGAAACGGCCTTACGGATAAGCTATTGGTCAGTCTCTGCTCGCGCGGCGAGGGCTAAAAAGTGACCACGAGTGAAATTCTCCTTATATGAGCTTTATATCGACAAAAATTTCCCATGTAGGAACCCTTTGAAAACTATTGGAGATGTACATCGGACCCAGGGGGTCAGGAAAGAAATTGTGCTACCCTCGGGAATATTCCGGAACAATGTTTTAACTGACTAGAGGCCATATTTCCTTATATTAACATAGTACCGTTTTTGTACAAAAAAATAAATACAAATATCTGGACGTACACACCAATTCATAACTCCTGAGGTCGTAGATTTACCCGTGGGGGTCATTATAAGATAGGCGCTATCTTCGGGAAAATTCTGGAAGGTCTTTAGAACTGACCGGTCCGAATTCCCTATATATAAACATTGTTAATTTGCTGAAAATCAATGACTATTTGCAAAACCACTTTTAAGGTACTTTGGCTGTGTACATCAGGCTCATGTTTTGTATAGAGCTGAAAAAATGAATCGGCCTTATGGATAAACTATCTGTCAGCCTCTGCTCGCACAGCGAGGGCTAAAAAGTGACCACGAAAGACATTCTCATCACATCAGCTAAAAAAAATGCCGAACGATCCCCCTGATATTTTGTGAGGTCATAGACCGACCCTGGAAAGTAACAATAAAAATTTATTCCCGTCGGAAAAAGCCATGATAGTCGTCAAATATGTCCGGATACCGTATTTTCTTATATAAGCATAGTAACTGTTTGTTTAGAAAAAAGTAAACAAAGACATACGTCATTCGTTTAATTTTCAAGGGAGGTAATTTATTTAAAATAATTATTTTTCAAACAATTGTATACTATTTTAAACCTAAACAGAAAATGACAAAGTATAGCATTTGTTTCAGTAAGTTGTTAATAAAGGTACATGTCTTAATTAAAAAAATAAATTAATTTTAAAAGTCAATGTTATATAAATTATGATATATACTGTTTACGGAACCTCTGTAGTTCTAATTCCATTTTTGTCATAGATTGCGAACTTTCCAATATTTTCTCTGAAAACGGACTTTCAACAACAAACAACAACAACAACAACATTTTCTCTAAAATTAGGATTACTGTTTAAATTTAAGCACTCCACACCTCAGTGTTAAGGTTAGGCCCGATAGGGCACTGCCCGGCGCCGCAGGCGCTTCAAATCTGGCATGAGCCTGCCTTGGGGCGATAGAATACGAGAGCCGATGCCGGTTGGCCAACAAGTCCACATAGAGGGGGTCAAAACTGACCCTGACTGACCGGCGCTTAATATGGGCTATATTACGAAAGAAATTTTGCCCAATCACCCCCCCCCCTTGATATTTTGTGAGGTGGTATGAGAACCCTAGGAGTGTCACAAAAAAACTCGCCATGTCCGGAAAAAATCTGGATGTGGGTCAAAACTGACCAGTCGTATTTCCCTATATAATCCTTGGATTTTATGTGTAAAACAGAGGGTAATTTCAGGGTACTTACCCTCTGTACCTCAGGCTAATTTTTGGGATGCTCTTAGGTAAATTGCTATGCCGTAGGGCGAATCTATCGGTTTGACTCAAAGTTCTCGACGAGGACTAAAAAGTGACCGCGAGTGAAATTATCTTTATATGAGCTCTATAAGGAAAAACCCTTTGCCCAACGACCCCCCTTGATATGACCGCGAGTGAAATTCTATTTGTGTAAGATATATATGGGAGCCGGACGTTTTCCCGAAAGACACTTGCCCGAATGAGTTTGCCCGAAGTCCGATTTCCCGAATGGACACTTGCCCGAATGTGACAAATGCCCGAATGGACACTTGCCCGAATGCGAAATGCATCCGGGCATTTGTCGCATTCGGACAAGTGTCCATTCGGGCATTTGTCGCATTCGGACAAGTGTCCATTCGGGCATTTGTCGCATTCGGGCAAGTGTCCATTCGGGCATTTGTCCCATTCGGACAAGTGTCCATTCGGGCATTTGTCGCATTCGGGCAAGTGTCCATTCGGGCGATTGCCCCATTCGGGCAAGTGTCCATTCGGGCATTTGTCGCATTCGGGCAAGTGTCCATTCGGGCATTTGTCCCATTCGGGCAAGTGTCCATTCGGGCATTTGTCGCATTCGGACAAGTGTCCATTCGGGCGTTTGCCGCATTCGGGCAAGTGTCCATTATGGCATTTGTCACAATCGGGCAAGTATCCATTCGGGAAATCGGCCTTCGGGCAAACGGCATTCGGGCAAGTGTCTTTCGGGAATTTGTCGTAGACCCGATATATATATAAATAAATTGACGAACGACCCCCACCCCTATAAGACCGACACTGGAGGGTTACAAAAAACTTTATTCCCGTCGGAAAAAACCTTTTACGTTCGTTAGATTATTCCGGATGCCGTTTTTAGATTTTAGACCCTAAGCACTCTACATAACAGCCAATCACCAATTAATTAATCATTCAAATTCTCAACAGTCGTTTTTGAAAACCTAAGCGAAGCTGGGCAGTATACCTAGTATATAATATATATGTGTGTGTGTTGGTGTGTCACTGCTTTTAACGGACTGATTTTTAACTTGTAGTTATTGGACGATACTTGGAGTGCAATGATAATGCTTGATTTATAGGTGAAATCACAATTGTAAATAATCAAAACCAACCGTTAGCGTGGTTGAAGTGTAAACAGCAGGTGATTAAAACATTGCTTATTCTTAAAGAAATAAATATGCAAACAAACACTAACCATATAACTTTTTGAGAAAAGACATGGAGCCACAGCCGTTAACGATCCCCTGTTTCATCAGGACTATTTTGTCTCCAAGTACATCAGCCTCTGTTACGTTATGTGTTGTCATGATCAACGTCCTCTTATGGTGAAAACTCTTGAAAAAATTCCACAGGTCTCTCCGTGTTCTCTCATCTAGCCCGCAAGTTGGCTCATCCACAAAAATCGTCTGTTTTATACAACATACAATGAGCAAGGAACATGTACATTAGCTCATAAACAAAGTTTCAGAACATTAGGAATAATTTTAAATCAGTTTGATTGTTAATGTCATGAGTTATTTCACTAGAAAAACATTTTGGAATTTTGAAAAAGGCATTTAGATAACGGCTTGCCGTAGATTTAATGCAGCGTGCTGTACATACCTTTCTTTAGAGCATCAAAACGCCCTTTTTAGAAAAACAATTAAATAATAACCTTGAATTTCCCGAGGAATGCACTAGCTACACAAAGTTTCCGTTTCTGTCCCGAGCTTAGCCGGGTAGTTAGTACGCTGCTCTGATTGTTGAGACGTATTAGTGCAAGCAATTCCTTTATCTCGTCTTTGACAGTTGGGACAAATTCATGGCGCAGCTAAATCAAACAGAAATCATTTCTACTACTAGATCTTTTAGAGCAGAATACTAGGTATGAGCATTTTTGTTGTAAACAAAGAAAAAAAAAACAATCTAAAAATTGTGTCTTGGAAGACGTTACAAATTGTAATCCTAATAAAAGCCGATCTGCGCACTTGTCTATCTCTTTCCGTCACAAGCTCTGAGAACAGTATCTGCATCAAAATACGGAGAATTTAAAGACACGGTAGTATGTTGAGAATAATGTGTGATATATTACCATCAACATACGGAGAATTTAAAGACACGGTAGTATGTTGAGAATAATGTGTGATGTATTACCATCAGCATACGGAGAATTTAAAGACACGGTAGTATGTTGAGAATAATGTGTGATGTATTACCATCAGCATACGGAGAATTTAAAGACACGGTAGTATGTTGAGAGAAATGTGTGATGTATTACCATCAACATACGGAGAATTTAAAGACACGGTAGTATATTGAGAATAATGTGTGATGTATTACCATCAACATACGGAGAATTTAAAGACACGGTAGTATGTTGAGAATAATGTGTGATGTATTACCATCAACATACGGAGAATTTAAAGACACGGTAGTATGTTGAGAATAATGTGTGATGTATTACCATCAACATACGGAGAATTTAAAGACACGGTAGTATGTTGAGAATAATGTGTGATGTATTACCATCAGCATACGGAAAATTTAAAGACACGATAGTATGTTGAGAATAATGTGTGATGTATTACCATCAGCATACGGAGAATTTAAAGACACGGTAGTATGTTGAGAATAATGTGTGATGTATTACCATCAGCATACGGAGAATTTAAAGGCACGGTAGTATGTTGAGAGAAATGTGTGATGTATTACCATCAACATACGGAGAATTTAAAGACACGGTAGTATGTTGAAAATAATGTGTGATGTATTACCATCAACATACGGAGAATTTAAAGACACGGTAGTATGTTGAGAATAATGTGTGATGTATTACCATCAGCATACGGAGAATTTTAAGGCACGGTAGTATGTTGAAAATATTGTGTGATGTATTACCATCAACATACGGAGAATTTAAAGACACGGTAGTATGTTGAGAATAATGTGTGATGTATTACCATCAACATACGGAGAATTTAAAGACACGGTAGTATGTTGAGAATAATGTGTGATGTATTACCATCAGCATACGGAGAATTTAAAGACACGGTAGTATGTTGAGAGAAATGTGTGATGTATTACCATCAACATACGGAGAATTTAAAGACACGGTAGTATGTTGAGAATAATGTGTGATGTATTACCATCAGCATACGGAGAATTTAAAGACACGGTAGTATGTTGAGAATAATGTGTGCTGTATTACCATCAGCATACGGAGAATTTAAAGACACGGTAGTATGTTGAAAATAATGTGTGATGTATTACCATCAGCATACGGAGAATTTAAAGACACGGTAGTATGTTGAAAATAATGTGTGATGTATTACCATCAGCATACGGAGAATTTAAAGACACGGAAGCTCTAAGGAACATATAAGTAACACCAAAGTTATCACTTGCAAAAACAAGTTTAATCTAAGGAAACTACACAACAGTAATGGCGTCATTGATTGTAAGATTAAAAATATATTCATTAGTGACATTAAAATAAAATTTGAATATCCGACATTTAGACATGGTAGGATGTCACAAAATACTACATTCTAAAGAACCCCACAATATCAATTTGAAAAGAAGCACAAAAATAGTACTTTCTATGAAAATACAAAATATCAATTAAAAAAACTGTGCTCCAATTTAGATTCCTGATAGTACACACCCCTACCCTAACAGAGAGTTAGCAACAGCTGCTTATGAAAACAGGAAGACGATGTCTAGCTGACTTATTTTAAGAAAATATCGAAGCCCTGTAATTTTGATAAAATGTAAAACAGGAATTTCGTTTAAAAAATCTATCAAATTAAATTGTTTCGACCTACATTTAAAATCTAAACTCGAACCCACACAAACCTTGTAAACAAAGATCAAATGCTCCAAGCAAGTTAGCTTAGCCAGAATAATGTTTTCCTGTGGACACACTCCAAATTTCTCATAACGAACATCTGGTAGATTTTCAGTTATGTTACAGCCTTCCATGTAGACACTGCCGCTAGTCATTGGGACCAGACCTGCACACACCAAACGAATCTATTAAGGATAATCTCACTGTAACACTGCAGTTTTAAGGTAATGTATCTTATTATTCTATCCCAGCTATAGGGGTTATAATATCGCTGTAACACTGCAGTTTTATGGTAATGTATCTTATTATTCTATCCCAGCTATAGGGGTTATAATATCGCTGTAACACTGCAGTTTTATGGTAATGTATCTTATTATTCTATTCCCAGCTCTAGGTGTTATAATCTCACAGTATTGCTGCAGTTTTATGGTAATGTATCTTATTATTCTATTCCCAGCTATAGAGGTTTTAATTTCGATGTTACATTCTATTACATTTAAGGCTGAATTTCGGTGCCCATTTTACATTTACTTGGTAAATCTATTGCTAATCATTAGACCTGCATTATTACAGGCTAAAATTTGGTTTTCGATCGAAACAAGGAAATGTTGCTGCCACATAATGCTCATATAACGGTTTTGAGTTTATATATACCATCCGTTAAAACTTGTTTTTTTTAGGGTAGTGTTATGTTTATACCTATTATTAGAAAGAAACTTTAAGTTTTTAATTTAGTGTGTTTTAGGTGAGAATTGGAACCTGAAAAGGTTAGAGTTAGGGTAAGATTTGGAGTGTTGTTGTTACATGGCTCAGGAAGTTCAATTTTATGGCCAACCCCAACCCCCATGGCAAAAATAGCTGCTCAATCACCACAAATGTTCATTAAAATTAGATTTTTAAATCTTCCTTGTATAGATATATTAGTTCGCTTTAGTTATTGTAATACACTTTAAAAGTTTCACCTAACAGAATAGAGATCAATGTTGATTTCCCTGAGTTGAACTCTCCAAGTATCACAGTTGTTTTGTCTTTTAAAAAGTTGACGCTTACGCCATGGAGTGCAACGTTGTGACCAAATGTCTAAGAAAAAAAGTTAATTATATAACGTTGCAACGATTTAAAAGAAAGTTGAATAAAATACTTAAAAAAAACTTTTTAAAAAACCACGTTTTTCTTGTGGACTAAAAAGTAGAAAATAACTATTTACATACATTTGATGACAAAAAACGTGGGTACGTTCACCATCAAATTTCCCGACCCATCTGCCCGACCCACGTTTTTTGTCATCAAATGTATGTAAATAGTTATTTTCTACTTTTTAGTCCACAAGAAAAACGTGGTTTTTTAAAAAGTTTTTTTTAAGTATTTTATTTTCTCCTTTTTAGTCCGTTGCTACACATGAAAAACGTGGTTTTTAAAAAAGTTTTTTATATAGTTTATTTTCTACTTTATCTAATGACTTGATTAAGTATGAATTGACTAAGTGTTTATAAATACACGGACTAAAAAAATCTTGAGCGACCAGGATTCGAACCTGGGTTGTCGCGGCCACAACGCGAAGTACTAACCACTATACGAACACGGCCAGCGCGCTCACATCGATTGGGGCCGAAGTAACTGTGTCAACAAGCCTCCAGTCTTGTCGGTATCTTTAGAAATCATGTCCTCAATTTTATGGTCCTTTGGGCGTAATTAAATTAAGCTAACTACGGTCTCTAATTGCTAGTTTTTATGATTGCATCTGAAATTGTTAGGCGAAAGTAGCATGCATGCCAAATTTCAGGTCTCTAGAGCAATCAGAAGTGGGCTAATTTTCGATGTCAATTTTAACAACAAACAAATCCACACATCCACAAACGCGAAGCTGAGTTAAGAAAAACGTGTTAAAATACGTGCACGTTAACGGTCTAAACAGAAACCTTGGGCCTTTGTTCGAATTATCGATCTCTGCATGTTTGCCGTACTCTGAGTGTATTTAAACAGGTAAATTGAATAAACAAATATATTAAAAAAATATAAATAAATAAATGTTAAAATTATTTAAAAAAATAAAAAATAAAAAATGAATTAATGAATTAATAATAAATAATATATATATATATATATATATATATATATATATATATATATATATATATATATATATATGTTAAAATAAAAAATGAATTAATGAATTAATAATAAATAAATAATTTAATTAATTAATAAAAACATACATAAATAGATAAACAAAAAAAAAACAGATAGATACACAGATAAATAGATCAATAGATAAACATATGAACAGATGAAAAAGTAATCAGATAAGCTGATAAATAAATAAAAAATAAACAAATAAACAAAAAAAACATACAAATTGTATGTATTAATGAAAATGACTATAAACATATATGTACTTAGTTGTACATAAATATAGATCAATATACATAATTATATATACGAGCCGGCCCGCGGCATAACATACGCCGCTATTTAGTTGTTTCTAATTTTCAATAATTCATAATTTGTGAATTCGACAGTACCAACGCTGACACTGAAAATATTTCTTTAAAACACTATAAGTAGCTCGTTAAGGACCATAACCCCCCCCCCCCCCTTCCTTCCCTCCCCCCCTCCCCCCCCCTCCCCCCTACGTTTAAAATCGTTGGCTCTGCTTGTAAACATTTAGAGTGAACACAGCTCACTAAAACCATGTAGGGGTGGGGAGGTAGGGAGAGCGTTTGCAGCTTGTTTTCTAACGGCTCGAAGAAGAGAATTATATATATAGAAGATATATATATATATATATATATATATATATATATATAATTATATATATATAATTATATATATATATATATATATACTAGCCGTCCCGGCCAGGCCCTGCTCTGGCTTCTGTGAAAAACCTTTCTCTTAAAGACCATTATCTGTGTGTTTATTAATCATCATAAACCCGGCATTGCCCACCCGAACCACAATCAACCAAAACCTAAACAACAAAACGCAAACATAACGCTAACACAATTACAAATACAAACGAAAACAAAAACCTAACAACAAACCCAACCACAACCATAACACCAATACGAACACAAAGAAAAAACAACGAAAAAGCAAACGAAAACAAACCAAATCCAAACGCAAAACCAACCACAAACACAAACCCAAAGAAAAAAACACTAATGAAAAAGAAAACGAAAACAAACCAAATCCAAACGCATAACCAACCACAAACACAAATACAAACCCAAAAAAAAAACACAAACGAAAATGAAAAAAGAAAGAACAAAAACGAACCAAATCAAAACGCAACCACTAACGCAGACCCAACCTAAACACAAAGAAAACACTAACGCGAACATAAACGCAAAGTGCTCACAGTCTGACCCGGGGCGGAATCGCCCGTTTCAGCTTAACAAACTTCTATAGTACCCCAACTTATTCATAGTCTTTTGCACTCACTTAAACGAACGTAGGCGCCTAACCGAACACGGGAGGCCCGGGGCCCCAAATAGCACCCTGTCTGGGCGCCAGAGGACGCCCGGATTCGATTCACTTAAAGACTATAGTAACCTTTCTTATCCATACTCTATCGCACTGTTTAAAGCGAAATTATGCACCATAGCGCTCACAGGATAGCACAGAGCGCCAAATTGAACCCTGGTGGGGCGCCGGCGGACGCGGCTGTTTCAATTTAATGAACAATTATAATACTCCAAGCTTAACCGTAAAATACCTACAACATTTGCACTTGATCAATCCCCGCTAATTATGTAATTATTGTTTTCCCAACACCAAAACAAAGTAATAAAAAGTAAATTCTTTTCCACTAATGCAATGTTTTATAAAGGGAAGTAATTGTGTTTTCCTAATTTATCAAAGGGAAGTAAGTGCTAAAGGACTAAATATAAATAATTTTCAGACATAATTAGAATTTTTGTAAAAGATGATATTTTTTTAAAATGATGTTTAATGAACATGCCGACAATTATTATTATCAGTTTGAAAAATGAAAATTATTTCCCAACACTTTCAATAGTAATTTTTTAACTCATAAATTTAGACTATGAGCACGATAATAGTCTAACACTTAAATCCATAGAAGTATGTCAACGACAAACAAACTTATTACATGTTACATACAGAATTGAGCTTTATATATTAGATATATATATATGTATAAATTTTTACCTTGACTACATTTTTAGTAACAATTTCTTCAGTTTCATCTGATAGCAATGGCTGGATATACTTTTGGTGTTGAGGAGCTAGTTCATAAAACTGGATTGTTTTATCTTTTAACCAGAATCTTGCCTGTAATTATCATGCACAAGTAATAACACAAGACTTAAATTTTGTCTTTTAACCGAGAGACGAAATCTTTTTTGTGTAATATTCACTTATCCATCTTTTTTCTATAAATATTTTGCAGAGAAAATCTACATTATGATGACTTCTAAGAAATAACCAAATCGTGCTGTTTTATAACGCTGGTTTATAAATTATGATCAAGTATTATTATCAATGTAAACACTGTATTTAATTGCTTAAGGTATTTACAACAAACTATAGTTTATTCTTATTACTTACACTGAAGAGATGGAATAGAGCCTTCTGTAAACCTAATTCACCGGATATTATTGTCTGCAGATACCAGGTAAAGAGCAAGTTAAAGAGTGTATTACACGTCATCAAGATCATGCCTTGTTTCATGGAGAATGGGTAGTGAAAATGGCTGGCAACATGATCGTTGTCTGTTGAAACAAATCATAGAAAACCAGTTATTTACCTTTGAGCTAGTTATTGAGTTCAGTACACTTTGATGTCATTCAACTAAAAGTTAAAGTATAGAATGATAGGTTTATTCAAAATGTCCTTTTCCAATTGAAAAATTTAAGTTTAGCATGATGGGGTGATTACATTTTCTTATCAAATTGAAAATATAGTAGTGTCATGAGTTAATTAAGCTTTCTAGTAAAAATTAATAATGCATAGTTTAGTGAGATGGATTGATTAAGGTTTCTTGTCTAATTGAAAATTTTATGTTAAAAAGATGGGTTTATTAATTGTTTTATGAAGTGAAATGGAAAATGTTTGTTTCTGTTTGTTTTTCGCATCTGTTAGATTGGGTACTTGGTTAAAACTGAAATAATGATATAATATGTTGCGTATCGGTACATAGTGATGTTATGTGTTGGTTAAAACTGAAATAATGATATAATATGTTGCGTATTGGTACATAGTGATGTATGTGTTGGTTAAAACTAAAATAATGATATAATATGTTGCGTATCGGTACATAGTGATGTATGTGTTGGTTATAACTGAAATCATGATATAATATGTTGCGTATCGGTACATAGTGATGTATGTGTTTGTTAAAACTAAAATCATAATATAACTCCCCTCCCGTCATATACCCCTGGTATAAAAATAAAAATTTACCCTCTACACATATATTCCGATATTTTAATTTAGATATTTTAATTGTGACACCAATGCATTTAAGGCGACACATATTGCAGTGTCTCATGTTTTCCCAAGATATTCACTAAGTATTTTGTACCTAGACTACCTACCTTGTAAGCTGAACTTCTGTAAGACGATGGCCTCATGGCATACGCTGATACCAATATAATAAATGAAAGTGCCGAAGATGTTAGATAATACAGGTGATTTGACCAGGGTGATCAGAGTTGAAATAGAGCACACGGCCAAATAAGTTATAAATGCTATAACGTTAGGAAACCAGCCTAGATAATAGATAATATGTTGTAAGAAAACAAGCCTATTTAATACATGAATGGATGGGTGGGTGGGTGGATGGGTTGATTGATTGATGTATGGATGGATAGATGGATGGATGGATGGATGGATGGATTGATGGATGGATGGTGGATGGATGGATGGATGGATGGATGGATGGATGGATGGATGGATGGATGGATGGATGGATGGATGGATGGATGGATGGATGGATGGATGGATGGATGGATGGATGGATGGATGGATGGATGGATGGATGGATGGATGGATGGATGAATGGATGGATGAATGGGTGAATGGTTAAATGGATGGATTGCTTGATTGACGTATGGATGGTTGGATGGATGGGTTGATGGATGAATGGATGATTGGTTGAATGGATGAATGGATAATTGGATGAATGGATGAATGGATGAATGGATGAATGGATGAATGGATGAATGGATGAATGGATGAATGGATGAATAGATGAATGGATGAATGGATGAATGGATGAATGGATGAATGGATAATTGGATGAATGGATGAATGGATGAATGGATGAATGGATGAATGGATGAATGGATGAATGGATGAATGGATGAATAGATGAATGGATGAATGGATGAATGGATGAATGGATGAATGGATAATTGGATGAATGGATGAATGGATGAATGGATGAATGGATGAATGGATGAATGGATGAATGGATGAATGGATGAATGGATGAATGGATGAATGGATGAATGGTTGAATCGATGGATTGATTGATGGATGGATGGATAGATGGATGGATGGATGGATGGATGGATGGATGGATGGATGGATGGATGGATGGATGGATGGATGGATGGATGGATGGATGGATGGATGGATGGATGGATGGATGGATGGATGGATGGATGGATGGATGGATGGATGGATGGATGGATGGATGGATCAATGGATGAATGGATGAATGGATGAATGGAGAAACGGATGGATGATTGGATGGATGGATGGATGGATGGATGGATGGATGGATGGATGGAAGGATGGATGGATGGATGGAAGGATGGATGGATGGATGGATGGATGGATGGATGGATGGATGGATGGATGGATGGATGGATGGATGGATGGATGGATGGATGGATGGATGGATGGATGGATGGATGGATGGATGGATGGATGGATGGATGGATGGATGGATGGATGGATGGATGGATGGATGGATGAATGGATGGATGGGTGGATGGATGGATGGGTGGATGGATGGATTATACATTTGTATTTTACAGATAGAAGGATAAAGTAATTACCCGAGATAGTTATAAGGGAAACGATGAAACCGAAAGAGACGGTGTTTACGTTGGTCAGTATCAGCCAAAACAAGACACCAATTGAATTCTCGTGTTTTAGCAGGGTGCTATGAGGTTCGGTGCTTGTCATCATGTACAAAGTAATAAATGTTGGAATTAGTCCCATCATGCAACGGATGATCAACCAACTCATCCAATAGACACTTTTATTGAGGCCAAGAATCGACATTGAATGCTAGAGAAAAACAAAATATAATAATTGTTCAATGATAATCGCGATATAGTTTTTTTTAAAATTCCTATTTGGTTGAATGCTTGATTTATCTTTTTGATGTCGAATAACTGCGCACATTTTTGTTACACTTAATTGGACTCAAATATTTGGAAAAAGCATAAAGGTACATTCAAGTTTTGATTTTTAATTTCAAGAATTAGTTTCGTAATTATATCTATATTCTGTTAAAAATTACCCTATGTTCATGTTTGAACCTTTATGTAATTATGTAATTAAACTTTATATTATTATTTTCGGAAACACAAAAGCAAAAAATCTGCAATATGTGTAGGATTCCGAAATATGCGCTTATGTTGAAAATTTTGTGTGTGTTAAAAAGTAAAATAAATTAAAATATTAATAGACATCAATAAATTCATAGAAATATCGTTATTCAGAACCCCCCCCCCCCCTCCCCTGATAGCAGCCTCCTTTTAGTTACCTACCCGAAGTTTAAAATTGGTTCAAACTAAATTATCTGCCCCTAATAACCATCACTGAACACGGATCTAAGATTGCAAACATTCAGCGTGAACCACAGCTCACCAGACCATGTGGGGGTGGGGGTGGTAGGGATATGACTAGAGAGGAAGAGAGATGGCTGCTAGGCTCACTTACGGCTTGGTGTTTTCTATGGTGTACATCAGGGGTCTCCAAACTACGGCCCGCGGGCCGGATGCGGCCCTCGAGGTCTTCTGATCCGGCCCGCGAAGATCTTTTTTCCACAAAAAAAAATGAATGTTGAAGGTTCAAAGAAGTGCGGGTGGGTTTATTACTATTTATCCAAGGAAGACTTTCCTAATAATAAAACTTTTGCATCATAATACTTTCCAAATTTTAGGACAACATACAACCTTTATCAAGAATGAAGTAGGCCTACATGAAGAACAATCTGAGAACAAACTTGGACCTCAAATGTGTGTTGTCGGTCCCCGACAGTGTTTCTTTCAGACGTTTATCTCGGGTGGGGGGCACTTGAAATGTATATATATATATATATATATATATATATATATATATATATATATATATATATATATATATATATATATATATATATAAGAGATGCCTGGAAGAAACTCTTGCTCCCGAACTTATATTTGATAGTTAATGCGGCCCTCGGGCTGAAAAGTTTGGAGACCCCTGAGTGTGCATGAAGAAAATTATATATATAGACTGGGCGTACTGCATGCTTTCGCTTAGGTTTACGAGAAGCAATTTCCTAAATTCTTACCCTTTACATAAGCTGTGTTATCTATATATAAAGCAAAGTGGTCGGTGCCTGATATGGCACTTCCAGGCGCAGCAATCGCGTCAAATTTGGCAGGATCCTGTCTTGGGTTAAAAGAACTCGGGGGCCGGTGCCGGTCGGCCGAAAAGTCTACGAAGAGGGGTCAAAACGGACCTCGTCTGACCGGCGTCTTACATGGGCTATGTATCGAAAAAAAATTCCCACGTAGGAACCTTTTGGAGATGTACATCAGACCAAGGGGGTAGGGAAAAAAAATTGTGCTACTCTCGAGAAAATTCCGGAACAGTCTTTTAACTGACCAGAGGCCATATTTTCTTATAAAAACATACTACCGTTTTTGTAAAAAAAAAAATACAAATATCTGGTCGTACAAACCAATTCATAACTCCTGAGGTCGTAGATGTACCCGCAGGGGTCACTGTAAGATAGGCGTTATGGTCGGGAAAATTCCGGAAGGCCTTTAGAACTGACCGGTCCGAATTTCCTTTTTGAACATTGTTAATTTGGTGAAAAACGATGACTATATTCAAAACAATGTTTTAGAATTTTGTCTCGGTACATCTGGCTCATTATTTGCGTAGAGCTGAGTAAATGAATCGGCCTTATTGTATCGGTCAGCCTCTGCTCGCACGGCGAGTGCTAAAATGTGACCACGAGTGAAATTCTTCTAACACAACCTATAAATTAAAAAAAAAACTTGCCGAACGATCCCCCTGATATTTAATGAGGTCATAGACCGATCCTGGAGTGTAATAAAAAGGTGTTTTTTTTCTTGTCGGAAAAAAACCATTATGGTCTTTAAAATTTTCTAGATTCCGTATTTTCTTATATAAGCATAGCAACTATCTGTGGAAAAAGTAAACAAAGACTAAGTTATTCGTTCAATTTACAAGGGAGATAACTTTTTAAAATAGTTATTTTTCAAACAATTTTATACAATTTTAAACCTAAACCGAAAATGACGAATTATAGCATTTATTTCAGTAAAAAAATAAAATTGTAAATTAAGAAGTGCATTCTAATTTGTAGAAATTAATTTTAAATTTCAATGTAATATCAGTTATGGGTTATATTGTTCAGGGAAACTCTGTAGTTCTAATTACCTTTTGAGTCATATATTGCGAACATCACATCAATCTCTCTGAAAACGGGCCATAAACAACAAACAGCAATAACAACAACAATTTCTCTAAAATTAGCATTCTTGTTTAAACGTAAGCACTACACATAACAGCCAATTACTAATTAATTAAACATTAAAATTATCAATGTTTTTGAAACCCTAAGCGAAGCTCGGCAGCATACCTAGTAATTAATATAATAAAATAATAAAACTTAGCACTATTGCCAATTTAATACAAATATCTTAACAGTATAAAATTGATATTTTAACCTTTAATAACAAAGAAGTCACTTTCTTCTTCAATAATCTGATTGAATAAATGTATAAAACGTGGCCTGAAAAAAAAGTGAGAGAGAGAGTGAGAGAGAGAGAGAGAGAGAGAGAGAGGGAGAGAGAGTAAAGCAAGCTATTCACAAAGTATCCAGTACAAATCAGGGATCCAAGTCTGTAGAACGCCCTTAAGCCTCTTCATCACCGATGGTCGCATAATTTGAGTTAAGTAAATAAAAAAAAACCCGGGAGTTATCTCCTCTAAACTTTTTCGAATATTCTTATATAAAACAACAGGGGATGGGAACTCGGGTTATACTTGTGATTTTTAATCCATTTTAACCAAGCGAACGCCGAATAAAGATGTTCATAATGTTGCGCAATATTATTAGTACTTTATAAATTTAGATGCGTTTTTGAGAAATCGGAAATAGCGTAAATTAGTACTTCCCGTCAACGTAAATTACTCAAAATTTGACAGAACGAAGAGAATTAGATTTGTTACTTACATGTGAAATTTCATTTATCTATCTGAAATAGTACTCAAGTTATAGGCTTTTGAAAAACTCAAAGTAGAAAAAGTACCACTTCTGGTTATCGGAAATCGCTCAAAAGTTGATACGGATCTACGATTTTGATAAAATAGATATATATGAAATTTCATCCACCTAGCTGTAACCTTACTCAAGTTATCGTGTTTACACACACACACACACAGACACACAGACATACGGACAAGATTGCAAAAATATGTTTTTCCGTATCAGTGAGATGTAAAACATCGAGATTTGTAAAAATCTCGATTTTTTTTATTGCACGATTACAAGACTTTCTCTATACTTCGTATATACGAGAAAGTAAAAAATGCTATGCTTCGATAAGAAAATAGGGTATCTGTATAAATCTAACGGCCGTATCAGATTTTTCCGACGAACATAATGATTTTTTGTTACCTTCCAGGGTCGGTCTACGACCTTACAAAATATCAAGGTGGGGGGGGGGGGGGGGGGAGCAGGAAGTCGTTCGGCAATTAATTATTTGTATATTTCTCTCATATAAGGATAATTTCATTCGTGGTCATTTTTTAGCCCTTATCGAGGGCTTAGAGTCTGACCGACATTTTTCCCAATTCGGCCTAGCCATCTATCTAAATACATGCAAGAAATCAGCCAGGTGTACAGAGGTTTAGTACCTAAACTCTTTGGTTAAAATTACTGTTTTTAGAATAAATTACAATGATTATATAGGGAAATACGACTGGTCCGTTTTGAAGGATTTACATGTTTTTTTCTCAGATGTGGCGAGTTTTTTCTGAAACCCATCGATGTTTTTCTACAACCTCACATAATATCAAGGGGGCCTTTCGGCAAAAGTTTTTTTTCGCTATATGGCACCTATAATGAGAATATTACTCGTCGTCACTGTTTAGCCTTCGCTGTGCAAGAAGAAGCTGACGGGTAATTTTTCCATACGGCTCATTCATTTATCCCGGTCTACGGAAAAAAATGAACCAAATCGACATTGATTATATAGGGAATTCGGACAGGTCACTTCTAAAGCCCATCTGACATTTTCACGAAGATAACGCGTATTTTTTAGTAGCTCTCGCGGGTAATTCTACGACCTCAGGAGTTATGATTGGGTATGTACGTCTAGATGTGTGTATTTTTTAAAATAAAAACAGTACTATGTTTTTATAAGGAAATATGGCATCTGGTCTGTTAAAACAGTGTTCCGGAGTTTTCCCGAGGGTAGCGCTATTTTTTTCCTGACCCCTTTGGCCCATGTTCTTCCTCAAGAGTTTTCAACGGGTTCCTAAGTGAGAATTTGTTTTTGGGTATATAGCTGATAGAAGAATTTCACTTGCGGTCACTTTTTAGCCCTCGCCGTGCGACCAGAGTCTGACCAATACATTTTCCATACGGTCCATTCATTTACCCAGGTCTATGAAAAAAAATGAGCCAGATGTACAGAGCCAGTTTTTAAACATTGTTTTGAAAATAGTCATCGTTTTTCACAAATTTAAGAATGTTTATATTAGGAAAACTTAGACCGGTCACTTCTAAAGCCCTTCCTGAGTTTTCCCAAATATATATTAGTTGTTTTTGCTACCCTCCGAGGGTCGGTCTACGACCTCAGGAGTTATGAAGATGTTCCTACGAAGGAAGTTTTTTTCTCGATATAGCTCCGATCAGCCAAAGTCAATTTTGACCCTTCTTCTTCTTGCAGGCGCCTAAAATTTTACAGGTACGGGCGTAAGGTGAATAGAAGACGGGAACAAATAGGTCAGACTCTACATCCTCACCGAGGGATACAAAGTGACCATGAATGAGAGGCGCCTTATATAATCTTTAGGTCTGTAAATCTGGGTATTTCTTTCTTACATATGCTTTGATAAATGAATACACCGTATGGGAAATCTATCACTCGAGGCCAGGGGTCGGCAACCTGCGGCTCGCGAGCCGCATGTGGCTCTTTGGATGACTAGATGCGGCTCTCCAGTTCCATGCACAAATAGAACTAATTATTTATGAAAGCCGCTTGGGCACCAGGCCCAGCCCCACAGCCGTGCTCTAGCCAGCCCCGTGACGACAATTCCATGCTTGCCACTGTCAAAGTGCCGACTTATTCGAATATCGAGAAATGGAGAATGTAATTTTTACAGAATGCATTTCTCTACCTGTTAGTATGCATTAATTTGACCTGAGTGACGAAGTATTTTTTTAAAATTATTAGCTTCCTACGGTCAAGCCGGGCACTGGACGGGTGGGTACGAGTTTACACTGGGCTCTGTGGGGTGGAAGATACGTCTGGTGAGAACCAAAGGAGAGAAGTGACCGATGTGTGACCTACTTAGGTCCAGTAATGTTTTATTTTGACATTGTATAATACCTTATATGGATTGATGGTGCAACTACCGGGAATTTTCCACTGTCTTATTAAGGGTGTCTAGGACCCAGAAATTTTCCATCAAGATCTGATTGATTGATTCTGATCAGATGACCATCCCAACCAATGGCTACATGAGTTGAGGATAACCTCCCCTGTTGCATAAGTCTTTAACTGGATCGCACACTCGCAACACGAGGCAGTCTACCTTGATCAAACGGTCCATTATGTCCAGGCCGTCCATTTTGTCCGGCAATAGATTCTGACCATTTGAACGTGAGAGAACTTAAGTCCTGAGTGTGCTATGCTTTCTTAAGCTGTTTTAGTATTCTAGTATAATATTACTTGTCGCCAAGTGATTCTTGAAGCTATAGCAGTGTTGTGTGACCTGTGGCTATTTTTATACAGTGTTAAAATCTGTGATAGTATTTTTTCTTACGCTTTGTAAGTTGTGTTTTGTTATTTTCTAAATTAAATATTTTATCTCGTTTAACCTAGTGTTCTGCCACAACTGTGTTCGCTTATCAAAGGTTGTATGCAGATTGAATGAGTTGTTAACTTCAATAGTATCACTAGTTTTCCCTAGACATCGAAGTCGAGCCCTAGTGTGTTGTTGAGTTAGTGTTCATTCATTTAGGCTTTAAGTCATTTGCATATAACCCCGAAAAAGAATCCGGGGACGTTCACCATCTATCTGGCTGGTAGATAGGTAAACGTTACAGATGCAATAATCAAACCGACACCCCAGCCAGTTAATGCCTGTCTAATGGGAGACACATCTTGAGGGGGTGGTGTCCGTAAACAAAGAAAATTATTATCTTCTAAAGTAGCAATATAAACATAAAGTGATATTTCAACGCCAAGGGTAGACAAAGGTACAGATATATATATATATATATATCACTTTATGTTTATATTGCTATTTCAGCTACAACGCCTGCTTCCACCCTTCACCATATCTTCTAAAGTGGACTGGGATTGTCCTATTGGTATATTATTTGATTACTAATTTTATCATTGCCGAGTTAGCGAAAATACTTTAATACGTTTTGGGAGAAACATGTTTTTCTATAAATAAATGTTTTTTCTTTTTTAAAGCTATTTATATACCTAATCCTAATAAAGTAATAAACTTTTATAATAAAATGTTAGTGGCCCTCTAAAAGCTGGGAAATTTTGTAAATCTTAACTTTTGGCTCTTCCGTCTCAAAAGGTTGCCGACCCCTGCTCTTGGCAATAGCAGAGGGCTAAAACGCGACCGCGAATTAAGTTATCTTTACACTAGCTATTATTCAAAAGCGAATTTTTCCAAACGAACCTGCCCCTCCCCCCCCCCCATCCGATACTTTGAGAGGTGGCAGACCAGTGCCCATTGATGCCAGGAAAGACGTGCTATATCTGGGAAAAATCGGTAAAGCGGTCAACGCTGACCGGTCATATTATTTTATGCTAACATTGTAATTAATGTGAAAAACAGCGGGTCATGTTCAAAATGTTTTGACAGTACTTAGGATATGTACATCTGGATAATGCTTTGTATGCTCAACGATAATATGGCTAGACCGTATGCACAAACTTGGACAAAAGAAGTACCTCCTAAATTGCTAATTATTTAGACGATGTTTATACTAATTTAATCCAAAAAAACTGACGCATTTTACTATTCGATGGAGTATTAATTTCCTCACAAGTTAAAATAGTTGTCATTTTGTTTTTAGATCTATAAGATCTGGAATCTCTGTCAAACCAAATACATTGTTTTAACTAATAAAGTAGAATTTGGGCTTTTTTAAAGAAAAGTTTGGTGAAATCAAAATCCATTATTAAAAAAAAAATGGGCCTATAGAAACATTTAATAATTGAATTTTTACTGAAGTATGATAGGCCTTTAAATCTTTCATACTACAGTCTGTTAATTAGCAATTGAATAGGTTAAATTAGGATATAATATACGAAAAAAATATTATTTGGTGACTGACCATTTTCCAGTGGGAAACTTGGTCGTCTAACAAAATATAAAATATTATTCCCGAACGTGACTAGCTGAACCCAAATCTTACATGTATGGCGATAGACTAAAATTGAAGCGTAAGTGAACTTGCAAAACAATGACCTAAAGACAAAGCACGTTTTTCATTTTGGTGGTTTGATGAAAAAGAAACATAACATCACTCGCAATCTCAAATAGCGATGTTCTTGTTATGAAGCATGCTATAAGGCTACTGACACATAAACCTACAAGAACTCACAAAGTGTATAAACTAAGATTCCTATGACCTTATTAATGAAAAAAATATCATTTCCCCCCCCCCCCCAATCCTACTTTCTGTACGAAAAGATCAGTATCCGCCATGAAATTTTACTTGACATTATTGGATATCTGACATTATTCATATTTCCTTTATGTCGAAAACACCTGAAGCTTTCAATAGGCCTTACAAATTATACATATCTGTTATTTTCCAGGTCTACTTGTGTTAGTTTTTGCTTTTTTTTCTCATTTCGCAATGTACTAAAAAGACTACTACACTTTTCTATTAATAATTCGATTCCCGCCTTATCTTCAGTATTATTTGTTCTTTAAGTAATAATAAAAAATTTTATTGTAAAGGAATTTTGATCGCTTTCATAGACAAAAAGTTTATGGCAGAAAAAATAAATATGCTAACTTTTAAAATTCTCGCATTTTGTTGGACCTTGTAGAATTGTGACCAGTAGCCCTATGAAAAAATTGTCGTTACTAGAGTTTGATATATACTGGAGTAGAAGATGTATAAATGTTATTGCTATAAGTGCATACAATTAAAAAGTCTTAGCTTTTTAAACGTGTCGAGAAATTCAAAATGGCGGATGTTTTTTTTTTTTTTTTTTTTTTTTTTTTTTTTTTTTTTTTTTTTTTTTTTTTTTTTTGGTTTTCATGATAATCAATTTTATTTTTACACGCTTTTTTCGCTGTTCTGCAGTTTAATAATTACTTTCATGTGCCAAACATAGAACAAGTATTTAAACGGCCCTTAAGATAGAAACTTAAATATCTACTTAAGACAAATTACTGGTGCTGAAAGCTGAATTGGTACAGACAGTTTAAAAGACTTCTATGTAACAAACTGTTTTGTTCCTACCTTATATCGCATTAAATCATCGTCAACGATCCATTTGGACGTAAACACTGCTAGCCAAATAAAGTAGAACGGAAAGAGAAGTCGCAGTAAGATGACGTTACCGGAAGTGTCGACAAAATGGCCAGGATGAGGCAACTCTTGCATGGAGATTTGAATGTCAGCATTATTAGTTTTGCCCAGCTTTAAGTTCCAATAACGAATGTAGGTTTGAGCTATCACTAGTTGAGTTGTAGTCAAATAATCAACAGATTCTTCTAAAAAGAGATAAGTAACAGTTTAAGATTACAACAATTGTTTTCGATTAAATCGTTTTTTTCCTAAAATAAGAATGGTCAAATATTAGTCTCTGATATTTATGACCGTCTCTGTAAGCATGGTCGTCTAAATTTAACGGATTAAGTTTTAATTGTTAACTTGAGACCGAAAATAAGATTGGTTAATATTATTTTAAGAGAAAGCGAAGGATCAAAATTTATCTATGAGATAAGTAATGACGATAGTTAAAATAATTTCTCATGGATATATCTCTGTAGCAGCGAAAAAGGAAAAAAAAATGTTTTAGGTTACTGGGTTGATGTTTTATTTGTGTGTAAAAAAATCTGTTTTTAAGTAAATGTACATCTGTTTTTGTGTATGAGCACACGAATGTTTCTGTTATTTTGCGAATGCTAGTATAATATGATTTAATTTTTAAAATGAAAATGTATTATAACACATGTGACTGATAATAAAATATGGGGTATAACATAAGATGCAAATGTTTATAAAATGTGAGGGAAAAATTGACATCAATGAGTCTTCAATGAAACTTAATATAAGATTATAGCTATTGCATGACGTAGATATTCTTTGTCTTTCAAACCAAAATTTTACCATGAGTACTTACTAAAACAATCAAGAAACACATCTGTTGGTGTCTTTGCATTGTCTAACAAAACTGTGTAGGTTAATATAGATTCATTTGTGGAGCGCTCAAACTGGACTATGTGACGATACATAGAAACTTGTTCCATGAACTCCTCGGCCTCTTTGAGCGAATTGAATGCTAGATGCTCGGGATCTTGAATGTTAAAAAAATAGATAAGCATAAATGAAAAAAAATCTCTGTTATAAACGTTGAGCCTTTCATCTGGTACTAGTCCTTTCTATGCTGTGTGAAATAAGTAACTTCACATTTGTGTGAAATAAGTAACTTCCCATTTGTCATATTTAAACTGACAGTTTGCTCGAAATATTTTCCATTTAAGCTGGATCTATAACGGACGATAGATAAAAACACTACAGACAAAAGCATTTGGGATTAAGTTCTGTTTTCGGTTAAATTTCCGAAAGCTGTTTCGTTTTCGGTTAAATTTCCGAAAGCTGTTTCGTTTTCGGTTAAATTTCCGAAAGCTGTTTCGTTTTCGGTTAAATTTCCGAAAGCTGTTTCGTTTTCGGTTAAAGATCATGTTCAAGTCAAGTAAAAATTTCTGGTAAAATTCCTGTTTTCTTTTGTTTTCCTTACTGTTGTGCTAACGATTAAGGGTTTGTTTGATATTAAAAATCTGATTCTGGTAAAAGTTATGGTCCAGTAAATGTTCGTGTTCTAGTTTCGTTTCCATTTCAAGTTAACGTGCTTGTTCCATTAAAAGCTTCAGGTCTCGTTAAAATTCCAGTTCCATTTTAATTTTGAGTTCAGGTTCAATTTCCTGATCTTGCTCAGATATAACTTATGACATGAAAAATAAACCCAGCTCCGGTCCAATTTCCTGATCAAATCCAGGTTAGGAAATTTCAAACAGAAGTTAAGTAATGGGTTCCGGTTTATTTTCGTTTCCGATTAAAGTTCCGAATCCGGTTTAAAGGCTTAGATAAAGAATTAGGGCGGTGATAGTTAAATTGCCGTTTCTGGTGAAATGTCCTGTACCGGTCAATGTTCAGGCTTAATTTTCCAACCGGAAAAAAGTTTCCGTTTTCTTGTTAAATTAATAAAGGCGTAAGTGAGGTGGGGGAGGGGCGGGAGGTCGGCAGCCTTGGTGCCGCCCCTAAAGGCGTTAGAAGGGGTAGAGAAAGAAAAACTTAAAAGCTCTTTTTAAGGTGCAGTTTTGCCAAACGAAAATGGCTAGGATTTGTACTGGATTGATGGGTAGAAAACTCTTTTAACGCATAGAATAGAAAACAAATGTAACGCGTAATGTAGGATTTCACCAGCCATTTTTGTAAATTATTACGCGACTAGTTTTTCCACGATCCTTACGATTCTATTGACGTGAGAGATCACAGTATTAAAGAGAAATAATTATCACGGATTCTTAGGGTTAGGGTTAGCATTCGGTTGGAGCGGGAGGGTAAAAGGCGATACTCTTTGCCGAAATTTTAAGAGCCAAGAAAATTAGTATTGTGTACCGAATAAATCATATTTTGATTGCTTGATTCACAAGAAGTACTAGTACTGCGATTTTCACATAAGTAAGGACACTAGATTTGCTAAACGAAATGATGGTATAACACGGCGACTGCTACTGCTTTGTTACTTTGTTTTGTTGTTCAACTGATAATTGAAAACTGTAATAGACGACTAAAAGTAAACCTAATTAGCTTGCACTTTTGACAAACTACACTCTAAAGCAGTGTTTTTTTAACCGTTGTGGAGGTATCAAACTCCACCAGTTTCATATGCGCAGTAACTGAACCCTTGTTAATAGTTTTATTATCACACTGATCAAATCTGAGCGTAAATAATATCGGGCGTGTGTGTGTTGACCTCCGCTGAAGCCATGAAACCGACTAACGGAACCTCTTGGATCGATGAAACCTAGGTTAAGAAACATTGCTCTAAACTCTTTTGATTTTTCTTCTTTTTAATTCTTTCGAAGATCGAACCCTAATAATCCAGCCCCCCCCCCTCCTTCCCCCATTTCTATTTCAAACGATTTCCTTCATGACTTTTTTGGTCTCCTTCTTTCCTCTTTCCATGTGGACATAACACCAGCATCTGCTTACTGATGTTATTTACTGTCTTTCTGATATTGTGCCTTAAACACTTAATTTTTTTACTCTTTTTTCATTCTCCACTATCTATAACCTACCTCTCAGCCATACAGTAAAAGATACTTCACATTAAGCTATAAATCCTTCTTCTTCTCCGTTCTTAATTTTAGTGTTGGAAGGGATCGAGCCTTATCTGCCAGAGGATTTGAATTCGAGTCTTTTTCGAATTTCAAGGCAGCAGTTTTTTGATCTTGGTGTTGTCTCTCCTAGAAGAGTGGCTGTCCCCAGCAACAACGAGCCTCATCTGCACGAGGGTTCGAACTCGAGACATTTCGGTTTAGCAACCTTGAGCTTTACCGACTCTACCACGCCGACCCCTATATAAATCCTGATTGAGTTTTTTTTTACAATGCATTTAAATTCCGCATTGTCTTAGAATGTTAAAACGCATGTAGTCGCTGCTGATTGTAATCTGTACATCATGGGTGGTACCATTATCATTAAACCAGTTTTTGCTTCTTCATCCTTTGCAATGTGTTATGCATTAGCTGTTGACTATGTGCGAGAAGGCAGCGCGCATCTGCAGACTCCAAGACTTCAAAATGTTTTTTCCATTGGATTCCAGTTTGTTTGTTCTAGCTTGTTTAATTATTCAATCAACTAATCAACCAAATACTCATGTCCTATTCCAATGTGAACAATACATTTTCTGATTGTTTGCTACGCATCTTAAGGGGAATTGAATCGGCGTCGATTAAGTTTTAGGGAACAAAAATCAAACACAGTAATTATTAAATGTTTTTCTGGACTGTCGCACACACACATACACAAACTCACATATATATGGATGTATATATATATATATATATATATATATATATATATATATATATATATATATATATATATATATATATATATATATATATATATATATATATATATATATGTATGTATATATATATATATACATATATATATATATATATATATATATATATATATATATATATATATATATATATATATATATATATATATAGGTGGGGTAAATTGAAAGCTCGCCTTGGGCGCTGGGAGGATTCGCTACGCCGTTGTAAATTGGTTCGAGATAAATTACCGTTTCCGATTCAACTTTAGTTCCAGATCAATTTCTATACCGGTTCAATGTATAGATTTAGTTTGAGGTCCGGATATGGCTCTTGGTTTCGGATTAGAAAAAAATACCGCTATCAGCATAGCGCCTGTTATATTTCATCTATAAATAGCGTGGAAGTTTGTGGTAAATAATATGCACATTTTGAAACTATTGAATACTAAAAAGGGAACGTTATTTAAACCGTGTAAAAAATTTTCTAGTAGCTATTTCAAAAAGTTGTGGTGACAAAAGTTTTAATATATACTGAAATATAAGCAATTAAATTTGATTGCTATAAGTGCATGAATAAAAAGCCTCCGCATTTTCAAAAATCCCTTAAAATTCTAAGTGGCGGAGGTTTGTTTTTTGGGATTTTATACATTTTTGCTGCTTAATACTTACTTATATGTGCCCAACATGGTAAAAGTATTCAAAAGTCTTTAGATCTTAAATTGTAAAACAAAAAAAAAAAAACCCGGAGCATATCCCCCTAATGCTTAAGATTACGATTACGTTTACAACTGTAGTTATGTTTATAGTCAGGTTTACGTTTACGTTGACATTCACGTTCAATACATCTTTATCTTCATTTTCATGCTTCTGTTTGTAATATTAATTGTGTTTTTTGTTGTTGTCGTTGTTATGGTAATGTTTAGAGATTGGTTTAGAGTTATATTTATTTTCTCAAAATTTGCGTCTAGAAATTTAATTGGAACTTTAATATATTCCCAATACATGGGTAGCACTTTGTATATGCTGCTTACATACAAGTCATTGTCCTTTACACCTACTTTATTGTAGCGCTTTGTATATGCTGCTTACATACAAGTCATTGTCCTTTACACCTACTTTATTCACAAAGGGTAGTGTAGCGTCTGGCTGGGAAGTCTAATTTAAAATATATTTAAAATATAATTTTCTTATAAGAACAATATTTGACATTAAATCTGAAATATTATGCCAAAAATTGTCCGCCATAGAGCAATAGACAAATACCCCAGTACGCGCCATTACTTAAGCCTACACAGTACTACAGTGACTTGGTGTTAAGACACATACCAGTAAAAGGGACTTAAAATAGAAATACGTACGTGTAAGGGGTTCTCTTCCGATACGCATCATGTCGGAGTAAGCCGTTTCCTTGGGAAAATAGCTCAAGGGATGCCAGCTTCGACTCTTGTCCAATACTTCTTTATTTAAATACAACGTATCAAATCCAAACGTTGCTGATTGCTCATAGAACGTGTAGGCCAACAGAAAAGACATCAGATATGGAAAAACTGAATCAATGCAAGAATTTAAAATACAAATATTTTCTGTTCGTCTATGTACACGTTCAAGTAAATCTGTGGCAAGCGGTGAGATTTCCAAAAAAGTGGGACGCTAGCAGAATATGGGTTAAAACGTTTTTTTTTTGCATTTCTTTTCAGTACTTTAACATTTTTTAATAATATGACTAAAACTGTTGCACACCAAATGCACATAAAAATCAGCGTACAACAGTGCGATAAATAATAGGTCACCCAACTAATTTTAGGACATTTGAATTATTTCATAAAACGTTTATAAGGCATCCAATCAAGTCAAATCATGTTATATTGCATTAGCATTGGGTCTTGACCCACGCGCCAAATTTGAAGCGGTCAGTTGAAGCACGACAGAAAACTAGACATACAGAGGAAGGAAGGTCTATAAAGCTGGTCACAAGAGACGAACAAATTGTCTGTGTCTGACTGACTGCCAGTCTACCTACCGGCTGGACTGCCTTCCGTCGGTTTGTCTGTCTCTCTGTCTGTCTATTCCACCTAACACCGAAGACCATTTTCAGTACAGCAGTTAATTTACCCCGCAATATACATGCATACATATATAAAACCAATTCATATACCTATACATATACCTCTACCAATGCTTTTGCTTACGCCTACGACCATACCTATGCCTAAACTTACGTCAACGCCTACAATTACATCTACAACTACCCCCATACAGACACCTACAGCTTTACACACACCTACACCTACGCATAGACATACACATAAATACAAACATACATACATACAGTGCCGGCGCCAGGTTATTTAGCGCTTTAGGCAAAACTTATTAACCCCCCTTATATACATTTGTATATATATATATATATATATATATATATATATATATATATATATATATATATATATATATATATATATATTTACTTATATACATTTGTATATATATATATATATATATATATATATATATATATATATATATATATATATATATTTACTTATATACATTTGTATATATATATATATATATATATATATATATATATATATATATATATATATATGTATATAAATCAATAAATAAATAAATAAGTAAATAAATATACATATATATATATATATACATATATATATATATACATACATATATACATATATATACATATATACATATATATATATACATATATATATATATATATATATATATATATATATATATATATATATATATATATATATATATATATATATATATATATATATATATATATATATTTATATATAATCTCGATGAACTACTCTCTTTCTCTCTCTATTTTTTTACATATTACAATGTATTTAACTTGATAATTTTATATTTATCGGCACTGGGTGAAAACGGGTTATTGGGAAAATATTTGTGGGACATATCGCCACGATTTGTTTGACCAATATATATATATATATTTAACCAATCGATAACGAGTGGAGTTGTCCAGTTGTGGAGTAGAGACATATGAATAAAGGCAGGGAGAGAGAGAGAGAGAAAGATAAAGGTACTGAACCTATTTCCACTAGAATCATTATGTATGAGCGTCTATGTTGATGCCATGTCTTATAGAGTAATGCTCCCATCTGACGCTTCAGAACTGACTCTCTGCTCATGATTCAGAAAACACAACCTAATAAATAAAAACACTAAAATCAGGTGAATCATAATTTAAGAATAAAACTATACACAATCAGGGATAAAATATAATTAACGAGCCAACCCGCGGCGTATCATACGCCGCTTATCAATTGTTTTATTTTCTACTTTTCAGTAATTCATAATATGTGAAATTCGACAGTACCAATGCTGACACTGAAAATATTTGCCTCAAAACAATATCAGTAGCTCGTTAAGGACGATAACCTTCCCCCCCCCCCCTCCTTTTCCACAACCCCAACCCCCCCTCCCATGAAAGCAGCCTCCTCTTAGAGATTCAGGGGAAACCACTCTAACTTACAGATGGCCGCTGGTTATATAGCAAATCTTGCTCGAAAGAAGGCTGTTTAAAGTTGATTTCTGTCCTATATTGATATATTTAGACATTGCTTTTGGTTTATTATTCAATTATCTATTATATTTGACACAAAAATATAATAATACGAGCCGCTATTTAGTTGTTTTATTTTCTACTTTTCAGTAATTCATAATTTGAATGCTGCCATTGAAAATATTTGCTTTAAAACACTAAAACCCTCCTTTCCCCCAACCTCTACCCCCCCCCCTGTGAAAGCAGCCTTCTCTTAGTTACCTCCCCTAAGTTTAAAATCGTTTCAAACTAAATTATATGCCCCTAATAGCCGTCACTAAACCCGGCTTTACGATTGTAAACATTTAGCGTGAACCACAGCTCACCAGACCATGTGGGGTTGGGGATGGTAGGGATATGCCTAGAGAGGAAAAGAGGGGGCTGCTAGGAGGCGCTCACAGCTTGGTGTTTTCTATGGTCTCCAAGAAGAGAATTACATATATAGATACATTAAAGCCATATTAATGAGCTACCTTTCTCGAATATTACTAGTCTCGGGCGATTTGACGTACCTAAAACGATAGATTACCTATTGTTATTATAGTTAGTGATTTAATGATGTGTCTAAATTCATACATGTACAAAATATATGCTTGGCCAATAACTTAATGAGGAACATACTATTGAGTTAGATCGACGTTACAAATAATTTGATCCTATGATTAATGACTAGATCTAGATCTAGATCTATAGAGAATGAATTGTTCTAAAAGATAGGTCAGATAGGCCTACATTTAACATGGAAAGTTGTTTTGTTTTTATCATACGTAGTCACTTATATTTATGTTACAATGTTATTTTCTACCGATAGATATTTATATTTGATGTGTCGTCTGGTATAGACGTAACCTTTATCTTATCCCAGTCAAATGTTTATTGTTCACTTACCAAAAGCTACTTCACAATTTTTTTACCATGCAAACTTTTTAAACATATATCCGTTTTGTTTGTATTATAACGTGCTAAAAGTGCGAAGATCGAGTAAAGAATACAAAATGTGCGCATTAATAAGTGTGCACGTAAACACAATGAAGAGAGTGTTTATACTCAGAGGCGTAGCGAGGGGGGGGGGGGGGTGCGGAACGCACCGGGTGACACCATTTAGGGGTGACACCAAGGCAGAAAATAGCAAAATATATAAAGGAAAACTTGAGGGGGGGTGCAAATCGAAAGTTTGAGGGGGGTGCAAATCGAAAATTTGAAAGTTTGTCCCCGGGAAGGGTCGCTACGCCTCTGGGGGGTGACACAATTAAGTGCCGCACCGGGTACCAACCGACCTCGCTACGCCACTGTTTATACTAAAGATATAGCACAGTAGCAGTTGTCAGTTCACAAGCGTAGACTTTAGGGATAGTTGGCGGTCTACAAATTTTAGGATAGTTGGCGGTCTACACATTTTAGGATAGTTGGCGGTCAAAACTTTATTAGATAGTTGGCGGTCTACACATTTTAGGATAGTTGGCGGTCTACAAATTTTAGGGTAGTTGGTGGTCTTCAAATTTCAGGATAGTTGGCGGTCTACAAATTTTAGGATGCTTACAATATTGTTTTAGCCTAATTCAATTAACACGGTATCAACCGTTACTATACTATAGCAGTAATATGGTGTGGTTTAGTTGCGGATCTTGCTGTTACATGCGTGTATTGATATACACGAGAACACAGCTATTTTATGTCTCAATAATCGCATATTATGAAATTCTGCTACGGTTACAATGGTGTGTATGGGAAATAAATAATTGCGTGTGGATCGTAGTGTTGGAGGGTGTAGTGGTATTTGGTAGGTGATATATTGTGTAGTTCGAGTCGGGGTGTTGGGTTTTGATTGGGGTGTAGTGGTATTTGGTAGGTTATATATTGTGTAGTTCGAGTCGGGGTGTTGGGTTCTGATTGGGGAGTAGTGGTATTTGGTAGGTGATATATTGTGTAGTTCGGGTCGGGGTGTTGGGTTCTGATTGGGGTGTAGTGGTATTTGGTAGGTTATATATTGTGTAGTTCGAGTCGGGGTGTTGGGTTTTGATTGGGGTGTAGTGGTATTTGGTAGGTGATATATTGTGTAGTTTGGGTCGGGGTGTTGGGTTTTGATTGGGGTGTAGTGGTATTTGGTAGGTTATATATTGTGTAGTTCGAGTCGGGGTGTTGGGTTCTGATTGGGGAGTAGTGGTATTTGGTAGGTGATATATTGTGTAGTTCGGGTCGGGGTGTTGGGTTCTGATTGGGGTGTAGTGGTATTTGGTAGGTTATATATTGTGTAGTTCGAGTCGGGGTGTTGGGTTTTGATTGGGGTGTAGTGGTATTTGGTAGGTGATATATTGTGTAGTTTGGGTCGGGGTGTTAGGTTTTGATTGGGGTGTAGTGGTATTTGGTAGGTTATATATTGTGTAGTTCGAGTCGGGGTGTTGGGTTCTGATTGGGGAGTAGTGGTATTTGGTAGGTGATATATTATGTAGTTCGGGTCGGGGTGTTGGGTTCTGATTGGAGTGTAGTGGTATTTGGTAGGTGATATATTGTGTAGTTCGGGTCGGGGTGTTGGGTTCTGATTGGGGTGTAGTGGTATTTGGTAGGTTATATATTGTGTAGTTCGAGTCGGGGTGTTGGGTTTTGATTGGGGTGTAGTGGTATTTGGTAGGTGATATATTGTGTAGTTTGGGTCGGGGTGTTAGGTTTTGATTGGGGTGTAGTGGTATTTGGTAGGTTATATATTGTGTAGTTCGAGTCGGGGTGTTGGGTTCTGATTGGGGAGTAGTGGTATTTGGTAGGTGATATATTATGTAGTTCGGGTCGGGGTGTTGGGTTCTGATTGGAGTGTAGTGGTATTTGGTAGGTTATATATTGTGTAGTTCGGATCGGATGTTGGGTTCTGATTGGGGAGTAGTGGTATTTGGTAGGTGATATATTGTGTAGTTTGGGTCGGGGTGTTGGGTTCTGATTGGAGTGTAGTGGTATTTGGTAGGTTATATATTGTGTAGTTAGGGTAGGAGTGTTGGGTTCTGATTGGAGTGTAGACAAGGGTGGTCTGGCTGTGCACAAGTGACTCGGGTATAACAACAGCGGTCATTTCAAATTTCAATATACAACAATAGCATAGTAACGAATCGGAAGGGTCAGTTAAATAGTCATTTTTTAACTGAAAGGAATAAAAAAAAGTCCAATACAACACTGATCCTGTCGGCCCTCAGGGATCTTTCACTGTGGCCCAACATGTTTTTTAATGTGCCCCGCGACCAGCATACCAATGGGTGAGGGGCGGGGTAGTGTGCGATTTGGTTTAATTCGGTGTCCGGTGAAAAAAACCAACTGGAAACAACCCCCCTGGGCATAAACCCCCGCGACATAAAACCTCTGGACAATAATCCCCGCGACATAAACCCTCTGGTCAATAACCCCCCGACTTAGGTTTATATAAGACAATTTATGGTGACCCGTCAAAAGAGCGCCAACAAAAGAGCGCAGACAAAAGAGCGCCGACATAAGAGCGCAGCCAATGAAAAAAACACATGTACGCTAAACGAATTGGGCATACTTGTTTGAAACAATCGGCGGTACGATAACACGACGTGTTTATTTATATATTATGGGTAATATGTTATGAATGCAGTTTGAAAATATTTCTAACCCAAGTAACATGGAGAAGATCGAATCACAGAAAGGTTATTATATTGGTCGAAGGCCACAGATGTGGAAAGGACAGAGCAAATGCTGATGAAGTACGACATGGAGATGCTGCAAGAAAGATGGCTGCCGAGGACGGATGAAATGCTGAACGATGTTGTTCGGGAGGATACTTACATAGGGAGGCGAAGGAGAAACCGTCGAGGTGACCCGCCTTTCGCTCTTGCTATTTGGAATGTGCATAATCGTATCGCTGAAAATCTACCCCGTACAAACAACTCAGTCGAGGCATGGCATCGCGCATTCCAACAAACGGTATATTGCAATCACCCTGCCGTTTATAAATTGATCAACCAGTTTCGTCTGGAACAAGATCACATCGAAATCGAACTGGAACGTCATCTAGCTGGAGTTGATCAACCAGAAGCTTCAAAGAAAAAATATGTTCAGCTGAACCGAAGATTGCAGGGGATTGCTTCAACCTATGCTAATGATCCAATAATGGACTACTATACGAGGTATAGTCCAGAACTTAGCAATATAAATGCAACTATAAAGAAACGTTTTATTAATTTGAAATATATTTTCATTTTGTTACATTTCATTTCAGTTTATATTCTCACTTTATGCCTAACATTTAAAATCTGTGTATGTTTTATTAGATTGCGTTTTGAATAATTGGACTTCACGTTGATTAAACCAGTTTTTTGTTAAAGAAACTGAACAATTCGTTTTTTATTGAAACAATAAAGAGTTAACATCAAACGATGCCTTCTGATCTGAGTTAATTTTCTTGTTCCTATTTATTAAATATGGTTTTTCGATCTTTAGTTTGCGCTCTTATGTCGGCGCTCTTTTGTCTGCGCTCTTTTGTCTGCGCTCTTATGTCGGCGCTCTGTTGTCGTGCGCTCTTTTGACGGGGTGCCGACAATATATAACTATAACGGGCATTTATCGCATTCGGGCAAGTGTCAATTCGTGCATTTGTCGCATTCGGGCAAGTGCCCATTCAGGCGTTTGTCGCATTCGGGCAAGTGTCCATTCGGGAAATCGGCCTTCGGGCAAACGGCATTCTGGCAAGTGTCTTTCGGGAATTTGTCGTAGACCCGTTCGATCAAGTCTCTGACATTTGCAATTGGCTTCATACCGACCGAGAACTCCATATCTGTTTGGTGTTCCGAATGACTGGCTCTAAGTGATGTTTTATTTTGAAGGTTTAAAAGACTGCTGGCTGAGAACAACTGCACACTACGCATTGTTTCTTCTCTATTCAATTTTCAGTGATGTTAATAAAGCCGAATTTCAGATATTCTTCTATTCATTCTTTTTTTTATTGCTAGCGTTTAGTCTACCAGTTGGAGACCCCCCCCCCACACACACACAGACAGCCCTTTGCGAACCCCCGGGAGATAGCGACACAAAGTTTGGGAACCTATGACCTATTGAATATCTTTACTAATATATAGGAATAGACCCACTACAATTTAAATAGTAGTGTATAATTTATTCTCTACTTTTTAGGGCATTATTACATAAAAGCTTGTTATTAAAACGTTTTTTATGCGCGTATAATAGTGCAGAATAGTTGGAAAAGACAGCCTACTAATTTGGATAACATTTTAATTAATTCATAAAAAATCAATTTAATGTCAGATTGCATTGTGTTCATGTCTTGACAGCGTACTTTGTTATTTTCCTCTGTCCAATTTTTGGGTGGAAGCATTGCAAATGACTGTTAGGGTTTCGTATTCGTACCAACTGAGTGATTAACTAACGCGCTATCATCTTGACTAGGAACTCTCATAATATTTGCTAAAAATATTTTGTATAATATTCTTTTTAATGGGATATGCTCTGTACCTCAAAAATCACCGAATTCTTTCATCATGATAGGTATCTTGCACTTTTGGATACTTTGTCCATTTTTGTATTATTAAAATAATAGACTTAATTGTAAAAAAAATGAGTTTAAAATACCATTTTTATGACCCAATTAATTAATAAATAATCTTTTTTTTTCTCAATTCGAAAGCTCTCTACAAAAAGTTTTATATCCGTCTACATATTTTTTTGGCATCATTGGATCATGTATTTGATAAGCGTATTTTCAATCCTCTTGGAAACACCGAAAGCTTACAATCGGCTTTACAAATTACACAGATATGGTATTTTCGTGGCCTACTTTACGTTACTTTTTGTTGTTTTTCTCATTTCGCAGTTTTTTAACACTTAAAAACCTGCTACTATTTTTATTTATTAAACAACGCCCTCCGAATTTTCACTAATTGTTCTTCATGCAAAAACAAAAATTTTATCAAGAGGAAATTGTGATGGCTTTCATAGAAAAAAAATGTTGTAAATAATATGCACATTTTGAAACTTTTGAATACTAATAATTGTGCGATTTTTCAGACCTAGTAAAAACCTGACGAGTAGCTCTTTCAAAAAGTTATAGTGACAAAAGTTTTAATATATACTGAAATGCAAGCTGTTTAAATTTGATTGCTATTAATGCAAAAAAAAAAGCTTAGCATTTTAAAAGTACCGAAAAATTCAAAATGGCGGATTTTTTTTTTTTTTTTTTTTTTTTTTGCATTTCCATGACAACCAAAATTCTTTTTTGCTTTTTAATACTTGCTTTCATGTGCAAAACATACTAAAAATGCTTTTGAACTTAAATTGTAACAAATAAAAAAAAACGAAGCATATCTCCTTAACTATTCCAATGTTAAATTTAATTAATTTATATTGCAATTTAACATATTCCAATGTTAAGAAACAAAGAATAATTTCATGAAATAGCTCAGTAAATAATGCAATTACATATTGTGTAATCTTAAACCTATAATGGAGTTTCTCCCATAGTATCGACCTAACACGGACGTTACAAATTGCTTAAATTTATTTATTGCTGTATTCCCGAATTAGATAATCAATAGAAATCTTGGAACCTAACAGAAAAAAACAATAGAAGCAAAAAGCAGTTATTAATTAAAGCTACCAATTGTAAATGACAAGAAAGTAACACGTTGGACAGCCATCTTTATTTTTAAAACGAAGCAGGCTCACACTGCTGACCTTTGCCCTGAATATGACCAAAGTTTAATTCGACTTAAATATTACAGAATTCCACGCTATCCTTATATAAGAAGATCATCGAGTATCCATAAGGCATCTTGTAGAATCGAGTGTCCATAATACGTTCTGCAGAATCCAGTTTCCAATGTATGTGTGTTTCTAGTTAATGTGTAGCCATTAAAGTTGTAGAATAGACATTTCACACAAATAATTCATTTTAATGTCGCAAGCAGCATCGTTAATTTGTTTAGGAAAGTAGTAGTTGTAGCTGACGCAGTCTTCGTTTCCCCAGGCATTGTCTGGTTGCCCTGGAAATATTTGTTGAAAATTATAAAAACTAATAACTGAGAGTGTCGAAGCGTGGGGGGTAGGGGCGGGAATTGGGTTAATTTACTGAGTGTAATGTTCTAAACCGATATTTAAACGAATTTCTCTAACCTGCATATAAAAGAATATTTTGATAAATACATTTTGCCTAGCTGTATGATACCAAAGACGCGATAAATTGTGTTATTAATTCCATATTAATTGGCAGCATTTTCACAGTTTTGAGGCCAATGTGGAAAGTTTCTGCAATCTCCAACATAACAAAAGTTAGGATTCTATATTTAATAGTCGGCGGTTTTGCTAAACGGAGCAAAGACACGGAGAGCCTCCAAGATCTTCACAGACTAGCTGATGCAGACCTTCATGAACTAACGTCTTAGACAGCTTCTGAAATTGAGGTGGCAGGACAAAGTGCCTAATATAGACCAAAGGAGAAGGGCGAGGCCTATGACAGTACAAATATGAAGGAGGAAGTTGAGTTGGGTAGGACAAACATTGCGAAAGTTTCACACTAATGTGACACGTCAGGCGCTTGAGTGGTACTACCAAGGAAGGCGAATGAGAGCGCTCAAGGCAGACCATGAAGTGGAGTCTTTTTGGAAAAATTAAGACAGCAGGGATGTCTTGGGGGGCTGTAAAATCAACATCCGAGGATTGGGAAAAATGGAAGATATAAAGTTCAGTCCCTATGATACATAAACCGGAAGAGATCTCCCCTAAAATTTCTCGAATATTCTATCATATTACTACGGGGATGGCAACTCGGGACATAGACAATATTTTAAATCCATTTTTAATTACTTAAACTTTTTATAATAGAATAGAATCTCGTAAAAAAAAGAATTACACACCAAGTGAACGCCAAATAAATGTGCATATTAGTGCGGGATATTATTAGTACTTTATAAATTCACAGGCGTTTTTTGAGAAATCGGAAATAGCGTAAATTACGACTTCCGTTCGACGGAAATTATTCAAAATTTGACAGAAGGCAGAGAATTATAACTTTTACTTACATCTGAAATGTCATTTATCTATCTGAAATAATACTAAAAAAATTCATTAAAAAAACGTTTTAATAACAAGCTTTTATGTACTAATGCACTAAAAAGTAGAAAATAAATTATACACTACAATTTAAATTACTATAAAGAAAAGCGTGGGTCACTTTAGTACTTTAGTACCTATTGGATACCTTTACTAACATTTGAGAAGAGACCCACGCTTTTATTTATAGTAATTTAAATAGTAGTGTATAATTTATTTTCTACTTTTTAGTGCATTAGTACATAAAAGCTTGTTATTAAAACGTTTTTTTTTATGAATTTTTTTCAGTACTTTACATGTTTTATTTACAATATTGTTACATGACTAAAAACCATTGCGCGTCTATTGAACGTGATGGCGCAGCTATTGAACCTGATGGCGCAGCTATTGAACGTGATGACGCGTGTGGTGTGGTTGGATAGACATGCCTACTAATTCGGTCCAAATTTTAATTAATTCATAAAAAATAATTAGGCATCCAATTAAGTCAAATTTAGTTTCAGATTGCATTGTCTTCATGTCTTGACCCACGTGCCAAATGTGAATCGTATCGGTCAAGTAGAAGTTTCCAAATTTTCACTCCTGCGTTTCGATCTAGACTTACGACAGACCGACGACAGAGGAAGTGAGTTAAATAAAAGCTTGTAATTATAGGCTTTTGAAAAATTCAAAGTAGAAAAATTACCACTTCCGCTTATCGGAAATCGCCCAAAAGTTTATACGGATCTTCAATTTTTATATCATACTTATGTATAAAATTTCATAACCTAGCTGTAATGGTACTCGAGTTATCGTGTTTACACACACACACACACACACACACAGACACACAGGCATACATACACACAGACATACGGACAAGTTTGCAGAACTATGTTTTTCCGACCTAGGGAGCCCTAAAACGTCGAGATTTGCAAAAATTTCGATTTTTTTTTTGCACGATTACAAGACTTTCTCTATACTTCGTATATACGAGAAAGTAACAAGGAGTAATGAAGATAAGTAGATCAAGTGAAATGGCATCATTTTAGAAATGTTTTGAACTGCTTGAAAACTAATTTAATATATTTGCAATATTTACCTCTATATATGTCGGTTGTCAGTTGGTAACTTTTAGACATAGGATAAGTAATTTAGTAGCCACAATGCTAACTTACAATTTCACTAAGGAAATTAACCACATCGGTTTGTTCTAATAACAAGTATAATTATAATCTATATTTAGCAGCGCATGCTTCAATAAATAACTTTTTGATTATCATTCTCTAGCTATTATTGATTAGTCTTGTAGGCCCACGCAATCAACTAAGAATCATTACACGTTACCAGCTTAAAATGAATAAATAGGGCAACGAAATACTTTTTAAAGCATATTTACTAAGGATAATCTCAATACATTGTGTTGTTATTAATCGTTAATGTTGATTTTTAACAAATTATAACAAATCGTATAGAAAGTTTTTAGATACTTCAGTAATGTATGCACAATTTTATGAAATAGAAATATAACAAAATTAGCAAGTGGACAAGGCATAATACAAACCTGAAGGAAATAAACGAACTCGCCATGACGATGTAAGTATGGACCCATCATCGGCCCATTTAAAAACATCCTCTGTTTCGATGTCATCCAATCCTATCCATAGCATAACATTCAACGACGTCACTAGTTGTTGAAAAATATTGAGCTTCTCGTCCGTTTTAGGGGTGTAAAGAGTACCGCCCAACACTAGAGCAGCAAAATTCGATGTATAAGAAATGAGAAAATGTTATAAAAACCCTAACATCCAGAGATCTTTCAGAGATCTCTAAAGATTTTCAAAACTACTTATTGCAGTTATAATCTGAGTGCTAAAACTTACCCTCGCAAGCTAACTTTGCATTTGTGTAGTTGACACTTTCGCTGGATATCCGAACACAAAGACTTTGACTTCCGTTTTGCTGGAGGGTGAAATTGGTACCGGGGTTACATAACATAGTTGTGCTGTAAACTCCTTTGTGTTCTGTAGCCCGTGTCCACTCAACAGGATAATCGCCTAAAAGTTCGTTTGAAAATAGATAAATATGACTTTTGTACAAACAACTTCTCAAAGTGAATTGCTAGATGCATGTTCGTGATTGTATTGCTACCGCTAAACGGCTGAGTTTGTTAATAATCATTTTTTTACATGCATGGGAAGGGATGCTATAAACAATTCTGAAATAGTTTTACGGCAGAGAGAAGCCAGACGTTTACCCGAATGATCACTTGCCCTCAAATAGTCTGCAAAACTACCAGAGACAACAAATGTTTGATCAAGAGGATAATTACATTTACTATGTTTTTTTGTTTGTCCGTTTGGTGACAGGAGAGAATCTGCACTATGTATAGAACTGTACAATACGTAGTTAGGTAGAGAATAATTTTTGTTTTTACACAGACCGTTAATCACACATTAATTTAAAGACGTTAATTAATTTATTCATATATTAATTAGTAGATTAACCACACTAATTATAAAGTTTCAGAATAATGGCTTTATTGTGACGTCACATGATTTATTTACTTTTTATAACAATAATAGCGGCTTCCATACAAGATTTTTTCACCCATTCAAAAGTATAATAGCTAACTTTCAGTCGGCCATAGCTTTAGCGATACATGGTTTGCTATTTTTATTACGTTCCAACACTAATATCAATTTTTAACAGTCCTTTATATTTAAGTTAGAGTATAAAATAAATTTCTCTAGATCTAGAATCTAAAGATCGGCTGCCAAGGAAGTTATAGATCTAGATTCTAGGTCAAACCAAAATTAAGTAGTTAAAATAAAAACCATTTTAAATCACAATGAATTATTGAGTTTTTTAGTTTCTTTTATTATTTATTTTAGCCCTTAAATATTTGATATAAATCTTTGCTTTTTAGCTTCAAGGATCATCTAACTCAAGAATACAACTGATTTATCTATCTAGGTTCTAGATCTAGAAGTACCAGAAAACTCGACTTAACCAAACCAGTCGTAGAATGTAGATAACTCTATCACTAGATCTAGATAATAATGAGTTTCAGACAAAACTATTTCAGACCTTCATTATTTTATATAAAGCTTGTTATTAAAACGTTTTTTTATGAATTTTTTTTTCAGTAGTTTAACTTAAAAGAAATTTAAATAGAGTTGCATGACTAAAAACCATTAAGCACCTAATGAACATGATAAAGTACCTATAATAGAGCGGAATAGTTGGGCAAGTTATTTTACTAATTCGGACAACATTGAGTAAAATCATAAAACAGTAATTAGGCATCCAATTAATTCAACTTTAATGTCAGATTGCATTGTCTTCATGTCTTGACCCACGTGCCAACTTTGAACCGAATCTGTCAGAAGTGCCCGAAATTTAGCTCGAGCGTTTTGATCTAGACAGACAGAGAAAGCAAGTTAAATAAAAGCTTATAATAATTTTTTTAATAAAAAACTTTTTAATAACAAGCTTTTATGTAATAAGGCACTAAAAAGTAGAACATAAATTATACAATACTATTTAAAAAACTATTAATAAAAGCGTGCGTCGCTTTATTATCTATTCGATACCTTTAATAATATTTTTAACATAATCGTTTAAGTCTCTTAAATCAGTGTGTGCATTTAGTATGGTGTTGTGTTGACCAATAATGTATATAATTTGGTTTAGATTGTTCTAATATGTATTGGTGACCTATGTTATTTTAAAGGTGTTGGAATTTTAGCTGGTTAGATTTTTTTTTCTTTGTCACTAATATAGTTCAACGTATGTAAAGCATATTGCGTTTTGACCAATAACTATTTTATAAATACAACATTAAAAATATATTGGCCTATTATTCACGTGTAACGGGTACCGATGTTTAATACTTTATAAAGGAGGGTAAACTTTAGATATGAATGAAACGCTAGCTAAGATCAAAGGTAGTACTATGTATAAAGTAGTTATATTCACCTAGGCTGCAGGTATGAAGTGAGCTGTTGAAAATAAAGGAAAAACACCTAGACTCCATACACGCTCTGGCGCATGAAAGGGGACTTGATCCAGAAATTGTAATACCAAGGGGTAAGAACTTGACGTACGGGTTTGTCAGTACGGCAAATTGGTTGAATAAACTAACTGTCACTGATAAAAACAACGTTTTATGATAAGAATAAACATATGTTGAAGTAAAATAAATAATTAATTGACTCAATTAATAGGCGATTAACCGAAAATTAACCCACAGCTTATCGACAAAAATATATAATTAAGACAAAGTATATAGATTTAACACGTAATAAATATTGTTAATTTATAAATTAAAATAAACCGGGAATGTTCTCCCCTAAACTTCCTCAAATATTCTTATATAAAACAACATGGGATCCGTCCTCCTCAAATTGCTCTCAATAAACATGAGCGTCAAGGTGTTCATTATTAATTCTGCTGTTAGCAACGAGGTTAGGAAGAAACAACATGTCCAAGATATCCTGAGTGCTTTAAAAATTCCATATGATGTGGTTGATGTCCTTGATCCTCGAAATGATGAACAGCTCAAATTTATGCACTGCAATGCCAAACCAAAGAAACCAAACCAGAAACCTGTGTTTAATGGAGATGATTATTGTGGGGATTATTCCAAATTTGTCGAGTCATTAGAATGGGATCAGTTGTATGAATTTCTAAAACTTGAAAATCCAAACAAAACTTCCAAGGCATCAGTTATCACTGGGGAAGATGAGGAGGAACACAGAAAAAACTGATCAGGGAAAAGCTCATGATATCCTTATTCCTATGACAATACAAACTAGTGTGATGTTCATTTGCCCTGAATACATGTGATGTTTTGAAGACTGTGTGATACTTAGAGTTGAATCTCGTCCCTGATGTACATAACCACGTCTGTTGGCGGCATTTGTTGCAGATGTTTTAGAATAGCCACCCACTTGTTTTGGATTTTTTCTCAGTCATGGTAGTTATACATTTTAAAAAGTTGTATGAACATCTAATGTATAAGATGAATACAATCATGTAATAATCTTTAGAATGAATATGAATGTAGGAATTGTTTGTGTATATACAATTAAGGTTGAATTGTGTGGATGTAATGTAAAGAGAGAACTTGAATTGTTTTTAAAAATACATATACAGTTAAGTCAGTTGTCTTTGTTAACTTGTGACTATCCTGAACTAAAGGAAAACTACAGGCACAAATTAAGCTAATTTTTTTTACTTTGCTAAATTTTTACTATGCTTTGTCCAGTATTTGCTGATCCTTTCAATTGCTTAAATCTCAAACTTTTGTGAGTAAATGGTAGATTTTTATCATCATAATAGAAAGTATTTTCCAGAATTGGTTGAGAAAATTGCTCATGTTTTTTACAATAGTATAATAATTTCATTGCCTAGTGCTTTTCCTTTAAAAGGATGGACAGGGGTGTGTAAATGTCCAGTGTTAACCATTAATTTATTTAGAATAACACATTTTAGTATTTAATTTATCAGCAATGCAAGGGCACCTAACTTCATTCTTAAACCACTATTTCTGATACATAATGAGAGTTCAGATCACCATAACAAAAGAATAGACATTCTATTTAGCTTTAAATATCTTTTATACAAGTTGTAAAACAATGAATTTCCCAATTGCTGCTTTCAATGGGAAAAATCAATTTATCTTTTTACATATATAAAGCTTTGACCATAAGTTTACAAGTTTTATCTTGAATTAATATAATCGACCTTTGTGTCAAGCAGTTTTATGACAGGTAACAAATAATTTGATTGTAGCTTTCTCCATGACTTAGTGGCTAGTGTCAGCAAACTTTGCACCCCTGGAAAATAATTATTGTAATCAAAACGTCTCATATTATTCAGAGTCTCATTAAATGAAAGCTATTCAATTGTTATTCAGTTTCCCAGCTAATTATTTAGTTGTGTGAAAAATAGGTTCTAAAGATTGTTTTGTTAAATCTCTCATGCATGTTTTGTTAATATTCAAAAATAAGAAATACGAGCCGACCCGCAGCGTATCATACGCCGCTATTTAGTTGTTTTATTTTCTACTTTTCAGTAATTCATAATTTGTGAATTCGACAGTACCAATGCTGCCACTGAAAATATTTGCTTTAAAACACTAACCCCTCCCCCTTTCCCCTAACCCCGACCCTACACCCCCCCCCCCCCCCGCCCGTGAAAGCAGCCTCCTCTTAGTTATTTCTTAGTTACCTCCTGTAAGTTTAAAATCGAACTAAATTATCTGCCCCTAATAGACACCCGGCTCTACGGCTCTACGATTTGTAAACATTTAGCTTTGTAAACATTTAGCGTGACCACCACTCACCAGACAATGTGGGGGTGGGGTGGGGGTGGTAGTGATAGTGATAGAGAGAAAGAGAGGGGACTGCAAGGAGGCGTTTGCAGCTTGTTTTCTAACGGCTCGCAGAAGAGAATTATATATATAGATGATGTGATATACTTTTTACCTTAACACCATTATACAGTAAACAGTTTTGAAAACTGAGAAAAAAAATAAATAAAATAAAATAAAACAAAATAAAACAACAGGGGATGGGACCTCGCGATATACACATGATGTTTAATCCACTTTAAATACTTAATTTTTTTTAAATAAAATAAAATCTCGTAGAAATAAGAATTGCACACCAAGTGAACGCCAAATAAAATATGCATAATAGTGCGCAATATTATTAGTACTTTATAAATTTACATTCGTTTTTTGAGAAATCGGAAAAAGCGTAAATTACTTCTTCCCGGAAATTACTCAAAATGTGATAGATAGTAGAAAATTAGATCTTTTACTTACATGTGAAATTTCATTTAACTATGTGAAATAGTACTCAAGTTATAGGCTTTTGAAAAATTCAAAGTAGAAAAAGTACCACTTCCGGTTATCGGAAATCGCTCAAAAGTTGATACGGATCTACAATTTTGATAACTACTTATATATAAAATTTCATCATGCTAGCTGTAACGGTACTCAAGTTATGGTGTTTACACACACACAGACAGACACACATACATACACACAGACATACGGACAAGATTGCAAAACTATGTTTTTCCGACTCAGGGAGCCCTAAAACGTCGAGATTTGCACAAAATCTCGATTTTATCTTTTGCTCGATTACAAGACTTTCTCTATACTTCGTATATACGAGAAAGTAAAAAAAAAAAACAAAGAAAAATAAGTAATATATAAATGAACAAATAACTATCAAAGCAGCCGTTTTCGGCTAGGGTTAGGGTTAGGGTTAAGGTATTATTACAAGCTTTTATTTAACTCACTTCCTCGTAAGTCTGTTTGTCTGTCTTGATCGAAACGCCCGAGCGAAATGGCAAGCACTTCTAACTGACAGATACGGTTCGTAGTTGGAACGTGGTACAAGACATGAATTTTTGACTTAATCGGATGCCTAATTTATTTTTATCAATTTATTAAAATTTTGACCAAATTAGTAGGCAGTTCTATCCAACTACTCCACACGCGCAATCACGTTCAGTAGCACGCAATGGTTTTTAGTCATGTAACTCTATTGTAAATAAAAACATGTAAAGTACTAAAAAAAATTCATAAAAAAAACGTTTCAATAACAAGCTTTTATGTAATAATTCACTAAAAAGGGGCCAGTATCGGACAACAACAGCGTCGTTGTGTTGTGTGTTATCTCTCAGGGTCACCAGTGTTACACTTATATGATTAAAATAAATACATTAAACAAGTTAATAAAAAGTCTAGTGACAATTTAAGCGCAATTTCCTTATGCTATCCATAACAATTTTTAATTTTTTGTGACCGAACGAAAGGATATTTTTTTGCGCTAAAAAAAAGACAACTATATTAACCTATATCAAAGGAAATAGTTTTATTTTAACGAGTAGGCCTACACGATGCTCAGTTTAAATGTTCTTAATTAATTTTTTGTGACCGAACGAAAGGATATTTTTGAAAACTTTCTTCGGCAATATTGTTGTAAACAATGGCGGAAATCGATTGGTAAATGTTTCAAGTCGCTAAGTGATCCGGTTGCCGAGATATGGGCCAAAAACTGCATTTTTCGAGGTTTTTTGGCTTTTCCGGGAAATCCAGGAAGGAATTTCGGGATTTTTTTTTGGCCCACAAGCATCCTCTGAACTTGCTTAACATATTTGCTTTGGAACTAGTCCTCGATATTGCTTCGTTGAGGAGGAGATACGACTTAAAGCTGCGGACACACATCCATCCATCCATCCATCCATCACTAGAAATGACGAGTTAATAATCGCAATTGTCCAGTATGGAAATTGCGCTAAAAAATTAAAGAACATTGCACAAGGCTACGCTCAATACATAAACACAAAGATGTAAGAATTTTTAAAATGATAAGCAGCTGTATCATATCATTATACATGAACCCTCTTTGATAGAAATTAAAACAATTGCAATCCTTTATATTTAGTTTTAAAGGTTGCACTATTAGTGCCAAATTATCAATCAATTCTAGAACAGAAGTAAACTAAATTAAAATATCGAATGCAAAAATGTAAGCCCTTGAACGTTTTCTAATCCAACGTAAGTTCTCACCGAAAAACTAAATCTAAACGTGTTTATAAATATAAACAGAAGCTGTGACTAAAAGTTACTGTAGGCCCTAATCCTTACAATAAAACTGGTGTATTAGAAAGCAAAGGCCCGGGCATAAAAAAAAAATAAACCGGGAGTGTTCTCCCCTAAACTTTCTCAAATATTCTTATATAACACTACGGGGGATGGCAACTCGGGATATGGACATGATTTTTAATCCATTTTTAATTACTTACACTGTTTAAGGGGGTAGGCTCGGGGAATAAACGGGAAAAAAACGTTTTAATTAATCACGTATAATTAATTATTTGTGTATGTATAAGTTAGGGTACATAAAGAATTTTTTTTTGCATGCATCAGGGACTCTTCTGAAATATGGTTGCCATGGCAACGGTGGCCATCTTGGAAAAAAACTACCTTTTAAGGAGTTCTAAAATTTCATAGAGCAAAATATATATCATTGATCCTTCTTGTACTATCACTGGTAGAGTCAGCTGGCAAATTTTTGTAAGAGAAAAATTTCATGTATAAGTATTATATCAAATTTGTAGATCCTTTTTACCTTTTCAACGATTTCCGATAAACGGAAGTGGAATTTATTCTACATTCAATTTTTCAAATGCCTATAAGTTGAGTACTATTTCAGATAGATAATTGAAATTTGACATGTAAGTAAAAGATCTAATTCTCCACCTTCTGTCAAATTATAAGTAATTTTAGTTGACCGGAAGTAGTAATTTATGCTATTTCAGTTTTCTCAACAAACAAAACGCATGTGAATTTATAAAGTACTAATAATATTCAGCATTATTATACACATTTCGCTTGGCGTTCGCTTGGTGCGCAATTCTTTTTTCTACGAAATTCTATTCTATTTTTCAAATTTTAAGTAATTTAAAATAACGTCTATATTCCGAGTTGCCATCCCACGTAGTGGTTTATAAGAACATTCGAGAAAGTTTATTTTTTTCACGATTACAATACTTTCTCTATACTTCGTATACGAGAAAGTTAAAAGCATTTATTTCTTCTATTATTTGGAATGGTATATTATTATATTGCACACCACAGGACATTTCTGAAACACTCAAATGCATCGCAATACGGTTCTTATCGTACAAATAAGTTCAATACTTTTACTTCACTGGCAAAAATCTTCCTGCAATACAATGGAAATAA